ACTTTCAACCAGTTGACCCCATCTTTTGTTTATTTTTTTATAATAGAGTATTTGTGTTGTATTGAGTTGTGTAATTTCGAATTTCCGGGACAACTCTTGAGTTAAGATAAATCTCATCAATCGACAACATTTGAGTATCAGAGTTCCTTGTGAATGAATTCGTTAATGGAAGTAGCTACTGTATTTATTTCTGCCGCCAAGCACTAATGTGAGCATCACTGCGTTCAAATACGAGTACATGGGACTTGTAAACTTTGCGTCTCAAAGTGATGTTTTTATTATTTAAGAGGGAGGGAGGGAGGAATTCCTAATCTTCGATTTGATTTTACAGGACTATGTCCACTTTAAAGTTAAAAATGAAATATTGTATGAGTAACTACACGATATATTCAAGCATAGACATTAATCAGAAACATAAAACAATAAAGTTTCCTCGATAGATAAAAATCACGAAATGACCTGTAATTTTCACATTTTTTCGATTTATCCTCGAAATGCTACAGGTTATTAGGACAAAGATAATTAATTATATTTATGCATGATTGACAACTGTCACTACGGATTTTTTTTAATCCCTTTAGTTTTAGAGTTATTCCGCTAAAACGAATTTGGTACTTTTAATGCGCAAAGTTCAACATCTCCTGTCGCATGTCACCCGAACTTCAGGCATATATTTGTTTCACAAATTTGGGCGGAGCCAACGTCAAAACTTTTTTGGCATGAGAGCTCTTAAAGCTCTGAGTGGCACTGCGGTAGTTATAGGTAGGCGTGTCACTTATTACTAGGCGCAAAACTTGTTCGCCTCGTGGCGTCGTTTAATATCATAAAAAAAAAATAATCTAACAATAGCATGTATCTTTCGTTATCTATGTTCAAACGAGGTCCACCTCGTTCGAACACAGATAACTCAATATAGTAGAGGGTAAGGATAGGTACCATCAAGTAACCTCAAGAAACATTACGACGAAGTTCATCAAATTATAAATAGATGGAGTTAAACTTGTTTTGACGACCTCATGGTGTCGCCATCTCTGAAGTCCGGGGTTCGATTCCCCGCAATAATGTAGAAAACTTGTGGTACCGTAGTTGTTTCCAATTTTCTTAATACAAGTGCTATAGTTACTTACTTTGGTATCAGAGCAACGTATGTGATGTTGTCAATATTTATTTATTGTTGTCTAATTTATAAAAGTTCTGGACATATTACTAGTAATTTAACAGACAAGTATTGGATTTTGCAGCAAGCCCTGAACGTCCGACATCCGTCGGAACCAATTACTATCTAATATGTAATATTCGACCAAATTAAGAGACTACATGTTGCGAATGAAACTTAATACTTTACATTGTCTTATAATTTGGTCAAGTTTTGCTTAGAGAACGAGAGTTTTAGGTTTAAATGCAGCGCGAAATAGTGAGTGGAAAAAGATGAGTAATTAAATCTTTAAAAAAAATTGTGAACTTGATATTATCAAAAAAGTCATGTTTATTTAGCATAGAACATTTTTTAAAAACGAGTCACAGCGAAAACACGTTATGTTATCATATCAAGTATAGATAAACCAGAACAAATATCTCATTGGTATTGTACCTAACTCAAAATATGTGAAATTCAAGATTATATTAATTGCTGAACGTAAAATTTTAATCTCTAACCGTCGTCGTAATAATTTTGTGAGAAACAATTAAAAGATATCTATTTAACACAAAACGAGACAAACTTTGCGTGAGCTAGATCTTGACTAAACAGACCTTTCTCAAAAGTAGATATGAAATTATTTTTTTACTTTTATTATTTTCTTTTATTTCCCTTTTATTTATCAAGTAGCAAATTGTTTATAATATGTCTGCAATAAACTTTAACCTAATTCATTTTTTATCTATTCTGAAAAAAAAATACACTTTCTGAGTTAATCCACTATTGTATTAACACTGCGGTACATTGTAATTTGCTTAAATTTTTAGGTTAAGTTTGCTTAAACATAACCTAAAAATTTCACATAAAGATGTCAATCTCGGCTAACTAAATTAAGTAACGCGATGCCAACTGATCTAGTTGCTTCACAATGTAACACTTGCCGTGTTATCCAATTGGCGTTAAAAACTCATTGAGAAACTATGCCAACAGGGCGGTATTTTTTAAATTGTATGTATGTACATAGTTTACAACCACTAATTACCAGATTGGTTTAAAGAACTGTAGCTGGAATACTTTTGCTACGGTGCATTATCATTTTGGAGCATATATCAACTTTCTTTTTCAAATTGATCAGTGATGGGACGAACAAGTCAAAAAGATCTGACGTGCACTGCTCCTGCGCCCGTCACCCAGAGACAAGTTGACAAGTCTTAAGTGACTGTAATTTCACCCTTAGTCTTCGAAAGTGGACCGCATTTCTGCTTGGCGGCAGAAATTAGTAAAGGTGGCAGTATTTCCCTGGGCGAACTCTTTCGCTACTATATTAAATAACTAAGTCTTTTTTACGAAAAAACCTAGAATACCGTGGATAAATTCAGGCATTTATTTATAAGAAATGTACGATAGGTTTTTAAATTCGTTCCAAGGTAGCAATGCGTAAAAACAACCCGTTACCAAAATAAGAAGATGCAATGGAGACATCAATAAGTAAGCACTATCGCGTTACACGACTCGTGAACGCCTAAAGCCATTAGTCTAAGTGGCTTCGTGCCCGAGCGTGGTGATGCACAGAGTTTTAACGCACGGTTGCATTGGGATACCGGTAAATAGCAATCGTTCGAAGAGCTTCTTGAGAATAGATGGACTTCAAAGATGAGACACTTGCAACTAAAAGTCCAAACAAGATAAGTACTTATTGAAAAATAAACGATGCACAAGTAAATAAGCAAACTATTTACTTTGATTAGTTATATGTGTAGTTATACGTTTCTTTTGTTATTTGAAGTGGGTTCAATGCAATAATAATTATGGTGTTAGTTTTATTGAATCCTATGTAAATTAGTTGTCATGAAGTGAATAAAGTTCTTAACTAGATTTTCGGGATTGTTAGGGCGCATTCCCATTATGTCGTAACGACAGATAGTCTTGCAGTTTAGTGTCGTGACTTGTATATTTAAATGAAATTGTTCACACATAGAACAACACGATTAACTGTCTGTCTGTAGTAGGAACAATTAGACACGACAGTCGTTCAAAGATAAAATAAACGTCCACAACACAATCACGACAGATAGTCGTGATATGGGAACGGACTAGACTAGACATTCGTCCAACGATAAATAAAACTTTACGACATAATGGGAACGCGCCCTTACACATTGATAATGATACTTTTTCTTCGGATCTAAGTCACGTATATTTGTTTTTTCAAACAAACCAACGTTTCGGGCCTTTTACAGGTCCCAAGACGACGGCTGACTCGATCTATCTATTTGAAAAAACAAATATACACGATTAAGATCCAAAAAAATAAATTCATTTCCAAGTAAGCATTTACTTTGAAGAATATCTGAATGCACTACATAAAACTATAACAAAGTAAAACGCGGAAGATATTGGAAGAATTAACTATTCATCACCTTGATAACGAATGAGCATGTAAGTACCTGGCGGAACTGAAGACTTGAAAAGATAAAGAACTGACTTCTGAAAAGTGAATTTTTCAGAAGTCAGTTTTTTATCTTTAGATAGACGTCAGAGGCGAAATATCGACGTCAGGTGATTATAGGACTTATTGATGAGTGGTCAAGGTGCAACAAAAAAGGTGCAACAATAGCATCTTCATATTTCTGGTTTATTTACTTAAGCATTTGGCACTGGCTTCGGATACTCGAATCAGAACTTTTCAGAAATACTGGGTATAGGAAGCGATGTTGTACCATCGCTTAAGTTGCATTAAAATGAGCCTTGTCCTTACGATAGGCTCGGACGTCGGATACGGTCGACTGCAACGGCTTGAATCGGAGGATACACCTCATGATATATCTTCCGGCTAATTGCACTTAACCCGTCACCATCCTACTGAAGTACGTATGTTTTAGGTAAAAAAAGGATTTTTTAAATTTTGGCTGAAAGCACATCTGCGCGCGTTAGAGACACCGTGGACGGGTACAAGTTTACCACCACAGACCACATAAATCGTCTGTGTTTACCACCAAGAGGCTGGATATATAGATGACACAAGAACTCAAATACTTTCTTCATTTTAATCAAATAATTTACAAAGGTGAGAACACGTAAACAGTTTTTCTTCTAAGTCTACATATCAAATAAAAGTAGAAACCGAAAGAGAGCAATGGAGTAAGTATACCGATTTTCTATTTCAGCCAATCAAACAAAAATAAACAAATTTCCTATTTTTATTTTTTTAAATTTTCACTGGGTTCGTTAAATTTGCGTACCTAATACGCAAACTTTACGACATAAAAAAAATTGACATTAATACATGAAATTGTGCATCAGACTGAGTAAACTTTATAGACTTATTGATTCGAACTAAATTCGAATATATTATTAGTACTTACAATTATTATAAAAAATATTTCAAATAATTTAATAATAGGATAGAGCATCGAGTATTATGTACTCGATGGGGTAGAGTAACATATTACCAGAGATCAGAATAGGTAGAGTGTACCTATTCAAGAAACACACGTGGACAACAAAAACCTCGTTGTAAAATGTCAAAACAAAAATTGTTAAAAATAAAAGCCAAAAATCTCTACAAAATAGTTATATTTTTACATATTAAAACCTTCTAAACATACTACAATACAGAATAATACATATACACCGATTTCACAAAAATGCATTATTCACTCTATGAGTATTAGGTACTTCTTCGAAATTTAGTAAGTATCTATACTTTGCCTATTCCGATCTCCACGTACCACCTACCTATTTCATTTATTTATTATGTTAATTAATTCGCTGTAGTAAAACTGAAGAAGCAATAACCTGGATCCATTACCTCTTCCTCTATTTAGTCATGCGTTTATTGATAAGAAAATTAAATACTCACATCATAACTCCAGGTGCAGGAGACACCGGCGAACTTCGCAACGCAACGGCCCAGCTCCACATCTTCGTGCGAGGTATAAAGATGCTTCAGGCAGTACTTGACGTGCGGCGCCACCCGCCGCAGCGTCTCCCGAGATAGCAGCACCCCTGGCCCACCCATACAAAAGTTTTCATTATAATCAAGCGCCAGCGCATCCCTCTCGGCCGCAGTTCCTCTCCCCGCTTGGCCAATAAATTGCGCCTTCCGACTGTCCACTGATCGCAGAAACTTCGCCAACCTATCACCCCTAACGTAAACGTCATCATCGGCACGCATAAACCACTCGAATCTATCACCGTAGTTCTCATACATATACAACAACATTAGGAACGACTTTTTCTGCGGAGGATAACTATCGTCTACTGTCTTTAAAGGAACTAAAGGCAATCCTGGCGCCCGTGACACTTCTGAACTGAAAAACGCAATTCGACCGGGTAAATCCTGGCCCCACGTTTCGTACACAGCCTTGGCTCTTGTCTCTAAATACTGTTGCGCCGTCATCACACCAACAAACAACAAAGTTCTGTTTGAGTTTGACACTGTTTCTTCTGGTTTCATCCCTATTAATGCCAAAGGGTCTTGGGCGATGTACTGCTTCGCCGATTCCGGGCAAGACTCTATCGCGGTCCTCGCTGATGTCCTTAAGCACAATTTGAGGAAGATGCCGAGGGCAACGCCAGTAACGATGCCGCCCACCAGGTGCATCCACTTGTTCCTCCGCCGCGACATATTGGTCGACTGTGTCACTAAATGCACCCACGGTTACCCGGCATCCACATGTGCGCATTCCAGGAATAGTCCTTTTATTCGTTTTTTGTTCCCGGCATGGGGAGGCATAACGGGTGACTTTTTTGTTCGATTTTCGCTCTCATCGAACTGATCACATGGTCGGGCGAAGTGATTCGTGTTGGTGAAGCCGCTATCGCATTATCGGCTTAAATATTGGATTTGCAGATGTTATCGAGGCGAGCGCGTCGTGGCGCGTCACGTATCGAAATGTGAACCGTTCATGTTACACAAAGTGCACGTCGTAGCGCTAATCGCGGAGGGCGTCACAACACAACGGTTCTACTCGTGCGCCGCCCGACGAGCAACTGACAGAGCCGCCTCAAAACAAAACTCAAGCAGCGGTAATTCCGAGTGTCCGTGTAGACCGTACTTTTTCGCGTCTCTGTCCCACTTGGGTAACGGTTGGTATGTGCATCCTAGTCGCCGGTTAATGTAGGCCGTCTTGGACCGAACTTGCCCCATTCATCGTTATGTCTGGCTGCCGATGACAATAGACAATAGTGGACACCATTGTCTGGCAGGTCAGCAGTTTGCGGAAACTCTTTACGACCCGCTTACGGCACCGGGAACTACGCTATTCGTGGCGGAAACCGGGTTCCTTTACCTGACTCTTGCCACTTGAGATGTGGGTCAAACGCGATCACACTGCCATCATATTATAATTTGCGATAGTGATGGAAATAGGCGCCGGCAGCGACCTTGATTTTTGTTATTGGAACAAAAATGATTCATTTATTTTGATACATAACAAATAAAACTACTTATATAACTAGATCTCAGAAAGTTAAGTGTAATGTATTGTTGGCACAGATCCAACACATGCCGAAACTGTTACTGAATAATATGAATGCGAAATCAAAGAGGTTTACAAAACTGTCAGACGAAATTAGTAAACATAGTTCCGTCAGCAGCACAATACACGTGATGCGATACTTACTCTGGAGTAAATAGGTTAATTAATAAATAATAAGTTTTCAGCTGCGGCTGACTTGACAGTGACCTACTGAAAAAATGAAATAGAACATGATATCATGAAAACCGTTCTTTTTCCGGACTTAAAGAGGACATTGAAAAACGACGTTTGCTCTCCATAATTCCACGTTAACATTAAAATTGAATTCGTCTCGTATAAACCACTGACTGCGCTTGGTTAATAATTCGGTCGTAATGAATTTATGTCAACTTTTCCTTTTCCCTTTGTACGAGTATTTGATTCTAAATGATAAAATCAATCATTATTAACTTATATCTAAGTAAATATTTACATTTGACGTTGCCAAGGCCCAGTAAACTTCCATCCCTCGTTTTATTATCTTGTTAAAACCGGTAGGCATTTTTGTGCTTTTTCACGCTTGACATACGATCATTAATTTTCTTTAACGCCTCATTGTGTAGAAAGACGATGTAGTTTTTTCTATGCTGATTTTGAATTAATTTATATAAAAAGGGCAGGCTATTAATCAACGTACATTTTAAACGTGGGGTGATCATATTCGTGATACCACATATAATACTATGCTGTGATACTAAAGAACTATCCCTAAAGAGCGTTTTACAATTTTTTTTTTTCCATATAAAACAATTAGCCCTTGGGACGATTTGTACGGAAAGTGAATTTGAGAAATGACATTTGGATAATTTTCTAGTTAGTTTTCTCCATGTGATTTCGGTGGCAATTTTTATTATTTCAATATTTTAGAATAGTAATAATACTTTATTTATTTAATATATGAATGTAGTGTAATATAGTCGAATACTTAAATAATAAATTTCCACCGAAATTAGGTAGAAAAACCTAATCTGAAAATTACCCATTTGCCGTACTTATAGTATAGTCATCTATTATATAGATACAAATGCTATATAATGGAATGAACACTAAACTATGGAATAGGTAAAGTAAAATATAATAAAAAAATATGTCATACAACCAAACCAGCACAGCATACCCAGACGAGAACTAAGTTGGTAAACTTCATTTCCATATTGGTCCTGCCGGCATTCGAAACCGAAACTTCCTCATTTAGCACAGTCTAGCCGCTGTGCCACCGAGGTCATCTTATCGCAGCCATAATCAACATCAAGTTTGAAATGCATTTTGTAACAAATAAGAAGATATCAATTTGAAAATAACATTTGTTTATTATTTATACATAATTCTCACCGTGTGAAGTATCATACAAAACACACGCTACGCAAGCCTGCACTTGTAATTTGCTAACCGTACTGTACATACAGTAGGTACAGTACAAGAATAAATAAAATAAAATCTGCAACGCACATAAGTCCGATCTCTTTACAACTATACACTATATATTGCTATTAGATAGAAAAATAACACGTCGTAAAATAATTTTTATACATAAATTTTTATTTTGTGGGTCAAATGGAATCAAATCATCCGGCTAAAACTCAATTCACATCAGATTTAGGAATTAAATTGAAGCAAATTGTAAAGAAATTACATTTAGATACGACACGGTAGCTGCAAAAATTCCCGAAAATACGCGAGAATTTTCTTAAAGGCGCGGTTTATTTTTTAACCGACTTCAAAAAAAGGAGGAGGTTCTCAATTCGTCTGTATGTTTTTTTTGTATGTATGTTACGCGATAACTCCGCCGTTTATGAACCAATTTTGATGATTCTTTTTTTGTTTGAAAGAAGGTACCTCAGATGTGGCCCCATTTAAATATTCCACCTCTAAGGGTGGCAAACTAGGGGATGAATGACTTTTGAGGTCGATTTTTTTAATCGGAGGTTAGGTTATTACTCATATCTAGTTTGTGGGTACACATATAAATAAAGTTTATTAAGCTATGTACAATTTCGTTACAAAATGCGAATGTAAATTGAGCCTAACCGAGACCGTGACATTGATATTTTCCCTTTCCGGTTCCGTGTTGTCATTTCTCTACTACTCCGACTCCACGACATTAGACATACGACCTATGGTCCAGGGATGGAATCCATTCAAATCGAATGGATGTCGGACGCCGGATGTGTAAAGCAACTATATCAAAACTATGCATTTCTACCTGCATAAGACCTGTAATCAGATTTCGCAATGGAGTAGTGGCGAAACATCCTTAGGCTCAATTGAGATTGCTGCGGAACGGAATGGAAGCAGAGAATTTTTGTAACGGAATTAAACATAGCAGACTAAGGCTCAACTCACACTGGCGCAGAGATGAAGTGTCGCGACGTGTCTTGTTTTTCGTCGTATATATGGAGACGCGCGTCGAAGCGCATCGGCGCGCGTTACTTGGGCGCAGTGAGGCGTCACACGCCGACCACACCGTGATCCGGGCGCTCTAATGCGAGCCTCGTCGCGCGTCGAAGCGCGTCGCCAGGCGTTGTAGTTGAAAAACAGAACGCGACGCGACGCTTCGACTCTTAGCCAGTGTGAGTTGAGCCTTAAATTTACCTATGTTAATTGTGTAACTTTCAAACTGGATACGATACGGTGCTGCGGGAATTCCTGAGACTCAGAGAGAATTCTCCGAAAAACGCGTGAACCGTTGTTTTGGTACTGTTACAAAAATTCAATTCTATTATATTATTCTATTCTACGAATATTCGACAATGTAAATTGAATCTTAGGATTCCGAGGTTTTATTTGGCTGTACAGTCGTTATAAACGGTTCAGGATATAAAAGAACATAATTATCTTGAGTATTTAACAAAAATATCGTATTGTTCCTCGTCCATTATGATAGACTTAAATGTATACACAAATTTCGATTTCACAAATATTGTTCAGAAAAGAAATTAGAAATCTCAGACGAGATTTTAAAATGCAAGTCATGATCTTCAAATTGTAACTTATAAAGAGATTTTTTTTAATACGACCCACAAAACATAAAATAATCTATCCACATCAGACCTGTGGATATAACAAATTCAAACGCACTGTGTATTAAATGCCACGCAAAAAGTTGAACAGGTATCGCTTGTTTAATAGCCACATTATAAAAAAATAACAATTAACAGAAGATTTTCCTTCATTTCGTATAATAATACCTATTCGATGTCTCTTTTCATCGTGTGATGTAAAGAGACTCCGACAATGGACGAACAATTAATAATTACAGTAAATTGCACAAGAGTATTTACAATTTAAACATAAGTGATAATTTAAAACAAAACGTGCTAAGTGAATAAAATTATTCAACAAGTATTGAGACAGAATAAAGCCAATGTGATTGATAATAAGTCAGAAATTCTCAAGTTACATAAGTTCATTTCTTGCAAGCAAATACTTCAATATATTAATGGAAATCGTTCACATATCCGATGTACCCGTAAATAAAATATTTAAAAAACATACTCGAACAGTGATATGATTTTATTAACAATTATATCAATACTCCACACTAAGTCGTCGAAGATATATTCTCCATTAGGTTTTGTATTGATATTTATTGAAGAGAATATGACATTATTGATCGTTAGGTAGAATTTACTTACAAGAACTATAACAAAAGAAAGCAAAGATTAAACAACTTGTTCCAGATAAATCAGATCCTAATGTACAGCATTTATATTATACAGGATTATTTATAAAATACTAACAACCTTGCAGGGCTATATTACTAACATCATAAACACAACTTTTGTTCCACGACTTTTAATAATTCATCAAATTTTACTTTCATACAAAAATAAATATATTTAAATTGATCGCTCTGTAATAAAATATCGCATAAACTCTATGCAGAACGAGAGTGGGAGTCGTCTTGGAGGACGCTTGCACGTTTGAACTTATTACCAAATACAGATCTACAAAGTGTCAGATGGTTTAACAACTTTTACAATTTTTGTAAAAAAAAAAGAACTTAAAAATTTACTTTTAGTAAATGTTCGTAATATAATACTGTGAGGTTGTTAGTAAGTATTTTAAAAATGACCCTGTTTATGTAAATCGAAATTTCAAATAAGTTGTCATTGTAATTCCATAATTAAATCTTTTTAGGAACTCAATAGTTATAACACCTACTGCTCCATGAATTTTTTTATACCAGCATCATTGTTGAACATCGAAAAATAAAATTTTACAAGCGCATTTATACTTTTTCTCATTCGAATGTTATCACTTTCATAGAAACTACGAAGCCGCTTACAAATTATTTACATAGTAATTAATTAGCGATTGGTGTCAATTCTGCAGTGCGTTTTACTATAATTAAAATTTATAATAAATATAACTAATATTCCTATCACATACGTTGAACGCTACACACTCAACATTGAAGTAGCCCTAGAGTCAGGGATTTTTTCCTGCTACACAGTTTCTGCTGCGCAGTTCAATATTTACCTATGGAGCGTGCGGTGAAACGTATTGCCGAAAGCATCTTTCTTCTTTTTCATAGCACTCTTGACAAAGCGGTCCTGGTCATCACGAAATACGTTTGCCAGGGGCTGATGTGCCTTGCCTCATGATATCTCGTCCTCTCTCTGTTGGTGGATTTTCTGGTGCAGTAATGCACAGCAGATTTAATTTAATAGGTCCATCGCTTGAGTGACCTACCGCGCAGTCTAGTGCCTTTTCCTCTGTCTTGTACGGCAAGACACTAAATAGCAAACATGAAAAATTCATGCGATAGCACGTAAGAAAAAAAAATTGTTCTGTGTGCGATAGCTACGTGAGATATATCCACGACTTGTATCAAAAGGATACGCTAAGACTACAACAAAAACAAGCTGAACATGAGGAGCAAAAACGCCTACTATGTTCAAATTCGCGCAATTGGATGAAAGCTATAGCCTAGCAGAGTACAAAACTAAGTTTAAATTAGAAACCACTGCAGAATTGTCACCATTATTATATAAAAATCTTACTACGAACCAGCGTCGTTCATATCATCCCAGTAATTCTGTTTCTTTAATATTCTAATAACTTATTGGGCTTGTGGAAAATAGCAAATCGTTACTTATTGAAAACCAACAGGGCGAGTGATTCAGCGTCCTGATTTTGATTCAAATCGGAAACGATCCGACCGCGTAGTCTCCAAATCAGATGGGTTTCTGAGCGAGAAGATGAACCTGATTCCTACTATAGCTTTCTAATTTGTGAGTTAAATCAACTATTGTTCCGATTAGAAATCTCCAAGTTTCCGATCAGCCAGTTGTGAATCGCAATTATGCGCCTCGACTCGGAAAAGACGTAGTTTCCGATCGGGAGAGGCAATCAAAATTAAGCTGCTGAAGACGTTCATGGTAAGGGTTGTTTAACACTGGATAAGCGGTGTGACCACGATTACTCGTGAAAAACAGGATACGTGCAAGTAGTTATCAGAGCGAGCATGTCATATCGGTTCCGAGTCGTCGTGCTAGTCATACACTCGCAAGACGCCAATGTAAAGCAGTCCAGTAGTCTATTCTATCATATTTGAAACAAGAACAAACCCGCATAGGAAATGAAACTATTTTTCCGGATTTAAATCGCGTATATTTGTTTTTTCAAACAAACCGACGTTTCGGGCCCTTTACTGGTCCCATGGTCACGGTTGACTGTAAATCCGGAAAAATAGTTTCATTTCCTATGTGTAACAATCGCGAAAACCTAAGAACTCGAAACAAACCCGCAAGTTAGATAACGAGATTCATCTAAATATTACGACAAGATTTGAATAACTAATATCCATCAAAGTACCGTGTTTATAATAATAAAATTCGCATATTTTGTGTTAGGAGAAATCAAATTATTTTAGAATTGTCTTGTCATAAGCTTATTGTACAGAGTTGTGTAGCGAGCGAGCATTCGAGCGAGGCTAAATTAAGGTTAATATTATTGCGGAGGTCAAGCAGGTGAACAATTTTCCTTGTAGTGATACAGTAACGAATTTTTGCTCCAAGTACAGTTATATCGAACAATTCACCAACGAAAAGAGGCAAAACTATTATGTATTTTAAAGTCCACTTTACGTAGGTGTGAATTGTTGCAAAATGTGATGCTTAATTTATTAAACACTTGACGCATAGGTACACCGCACGTAACGCAGCGCGACGCAGTAGTGCACAGGAAATTTACGACATATGCGGTTTAATTTTCGAACGGTGCTACTTTAATCTACTTCGTAGTAACCTACGTTAATCTGTCTTTACGATGGAGCTTCCTCGTGCGTAAATTTGCAAGCCCCCGAGTGAGGGGTACTGTTCCACCATACACTTTTACTCCATGGAACTAGGCTACATAGTCCGACCGAACGAACTTCGAACACAATGTAAGCTTCAATGTCAAGTTTAACTGGCTAGGTTAAACTATAGTCAGCAATTACTGCCGTAAATTATGGATTGGGTACTTTTCTTGTAACACAAAATGACGCAGAATGACGTAGAATTATTCTATTTTTCCATCGCTTTTTCTCTTGTTAACTCTGGTATAATTCAATGTATGGAAAGCTCAAACAACAATAACATGAACACTCGAACACGTGTAGTACAATAATAACTTTATTAAGTTACAAAATAAATGTTATTAATTATTTGGAGAAACCTTAATTTTTAAGACGATTTGCTGAAGCCCTTACGTGAATAATCTTTTCCCAAGTGTTTGATACTAGCTTACCCTGTCTATGAGGCGTATGTTACGACACTAGTTCGTCTAAAGCCTTATCTCTATTGAACTCATGCCTGGCGAGAGCCGTCGACACCTTGCCTTCGGAGAATCCTAAGTCCATCAGCTCGCCCATAATGAGAAGACCTTCGATTATCTGAAAAATATACAAATATTTTCGTTGAGTCGTTACAGAACTGGAGACTAAGACTAAAAAATCCATTATATCACTCATTAATGGCGGAGGCAGTCCTCCGTCGTCGAACGGTTACCATGCCGGACTGCCACGCAAGAGGTTTCGGGTTCGATACCAGGGCCGGGAGATATATTTTATGGCCTACATTTATTTCTCTCGTGAGTTTGGGTGTAATATGTGGTTGTCTATGTGTGCGTCCACGGCACTCGCGATACGTCATTATTAGGATTCCATTGCCGTAATGTATAAAAGCCTAACTTAAAGCTATAACTGTTTACACAAGATAAATAAAAATTTATTAATAATTAAAAATAGTACATTATCTGTTTCCCAGCTGCAATGAAAACATTGCTGTCATCAATGAATGCATGTCAGACCATTTGTCAGTGATTACAGTTCACCTTCACATTATCAAAACAATACCTACCCAAGTGTACATGCTCTAAACCAAGATATATTTTGAAAAGAAAAAAATTGTATTTATTCCTAAGGGCCCTGCACTCTTGAGATTACTAATTATCATATGGTAAAAAATCAGATTCACACCTAAATGGCTTGCTTGAATTAAGGTCTACCTCAAAAAAATTTAATATTAATAAATCGAAGAACTGACAAGCAAAGCCCACAAATGATGCAAAGTTGTTAGGTGAGTATTTTATGTAATGGAAAGGATGAAGTCTTACAACAAATTTAGCATATTTTGAAAACAGCTGGTTTTAAAATAAGTAAAGAATTAACTATTTTGATTTGACCAGCATTCCCGAAAAGCAGCAACAATTCAAGAATTCTTAGAATACTAAACTGTATTGGGCAGGCACAGGCTATGGCTATCTATGACTATGATGTTGAAGCTTTCCATAAACGTGGCCTGTGCAAGTGTCCGCTCACTGTACAGAAAGTTGGAAAAGTAATAGTACCATAAATATTCAAATGTAATCTGGAAATAATAAAAAGCTAACTACTGACTTTGCTAGCTTGTCCAAATTGTACGATTTTACTGTTACCTAGGCACTATTGTAATTATATAATTCAAATAATTTATATAATTTAAGTCTACTCAACCATTGAAGTTTGCTCAAACACCATTCACCATTCATCATGACACATTTATACAACTTTGTAAATTGTATTGTAATATGCAATAGAAAAATAAACAAAATCTTACCTTTTTATCATTATCTCCTACAAGCGTACACACTCTAGCAACCCTGTCTAGCGGGAAACCCATCCCATGTATTTTCTGGCACATATCTTGTAACTTAGGAGATAGCTTCTCAAAAGGATTTGGCAGATTCTCAGCTTTTCTTCTACTTCGTTTCTCCTCTTTCTTATCACTAGTTGAGGTGGAATGAGGGTTCAATTTAGGAGCAGGACTCGCATTATAAGACCTTTCATTGGCTCTCTGTTTTGCTGAAGCAATTTCTTCATTCAACTCCCTTACAATATCCGGGACACTTCGCGATCTGGACTTTGTTGTATTATTTGTATTAGAAGCTATGTTTTTATTCTCTTCCACTTTTTCAACATTCTGGTTCTGGTTCTGAATTGGATCATATGTATTAGGAGGGTATGCCATTGGTACATGAGAATAGTGGTAATAATATGGTTCAGGGATGTAATTCGTGCCATTTGGAATTTGACTGATTTCTCCAGTGTTTGATATCTGATTACCATAATAATTTGGGTCAGTTACCGGGTATGAGTTTGAAGGAACGTAATATTGATAGCTCGGCAAATACATGTTCATATTTTCCATTTGCATAGGATTATCACAGATATTGTCAGTTGGTACATAGTAACCATTAGATACAGGGTAGTGTTGTGGGGAATACATGACACTAGGGCCTTGGATGGATTGTTCCATGTATGAGTTAGGTAGATAGGTTACACCTTCTATTTGTGCCTGAGATGCACAATTAGGGATTGTGTACATCTGGTCCGTAGTGTATGCTCGCTGAGGATCGCAGCTAGTTGCAGATTCCCTCTGACTTTGCAGCACTTGTGCTAATAATTCCATATCATTTATTGTCTTCAATTCAACATTATCAAATGGGCTAGAGGTGTCATTCTCAAAATCTTTATATGTTAACGTATCTACATTACTGTAATGTGGTACTTTAGTGATTTTAGTATTCATCTTTAGTTCTTGCAGAGGATCTGGATCATCCAACAAGTTGCTCTGTGGATATCTGGCTTGGACTGGTATGGGTTGCAGGATATTGTGCTGAGGCTCTGCATTGCTGCAGGAAGGGTAACTAACATCCACAGCAGCTGAAGCTTCTGCAGTTTCAGGGCTATTGTCTTGTGTTGGAGAGTTATCACAGTTTTTATCAGTTTTCTCATCAGGTGACAGGGCACTGATCTCGTCTGTACTCGGGTACGACACCTCTGACACGCTCAGCTGCTTCAATTTCTCCTTAGCCTCGGCAGCCGCTATTTCATCCAGTTTCTTCTGTTTGGCTTCCTCCAATAGCTGTAAACGATGTCTCCTCTCGTTTTTCTTCGTTTCTTTCGCACTCCGAAGCTCCTTGAGTTTAGCGAGGACGTTCTTCTCGAAAGTAGCACAGTACTCGACGTTGTCGACAACATGCTGAGCCCGTGTTGGACACTCAATAACACTGTAAGGCAATTCTATTCTAGGCGGCCTTTTGTATTTTTCGGATATTTTAACGGGTACACCGTCCATATAATCCTGGAAATGTGACATATCAACGCACCTTATATGCGAAGATAAAGATATCAAACAATGAGACGACAAAGTTTGTTTGTAATGATTCTTTGCACTTTTAAGGTTACATCGTCCTCTAATAATAACTTCATCACTTGGCTGATCAAATTTGTAAAACTCATAGGAAAATCACAGGCTTCATAACATCTTCCATTATCACTGAAAAGAATTTACACAAATAAAAAACGAAATTATTTCGTGTGAAAATCTACGTGTATGACAGAAGTTGACAGTGAAGAATTTAATTTAGTGGTTTGTCAAAATATCGTGCTTATCACACTATAAAAAAAGTAATTTTATGAGGGAAACAAAGCTCAAAAGTATCATTTAAGAATAGAAAAATCATTTTCGCTCATTGTCAAGGACCCTAGTAGCTGCTGAAAAAAGCACATTATACTTGTCATATCCAATGTTACCATATTAATCACCGAAATAGATATCATACCGAATTATTATACCATAAAAAACTGTCATATGTATGGTGGTTTCTCGCATATTTAATTATGATAATATCAGTGAATATTATTCACTTTGTGAACTAAACCATGGAGGTTTATTGTGGAACACAATCAATTTGGAAACAAAACTTGTTTTGTTTTCTACTTACAAGCCTGTTGAAACTAATTTATAGGTGACTGGCCTAAAATGGAACACCTGAATTTGAAGCAGAAAAAAATAAATCACGTGTGCGCCTCTTTTAGCCGCCGCCAGATGTCGCCAGTGTTGCTTTATAAAAGTTATGGCGGATCTTTTCACAAATTTTTATAGATTTGCCGTAATTCGTAGGTAGATTTGTAATTATCGGCGTCGAAAATAATAGCTCGTTTAACTAACGGTGAGTGCCCGGCGACCCACGTCACCCTGCCACCACGGAGGACCAAATTCGCCAACGGGCGAGCGACACAGACTGACATTCGACAAATCGTCTCGGATTTCGGTGGCCCAGCGAACGGAGACGGAGCGAACCCTCGAAATTCGACGCCGTACTGCATCTCACTCGATCCACGCATAGCATGACGGAATAGCTGTCCGAGAAAGTCTGTCGCCAACGGACTCCACAGACGGGGAAGCAGGTCGGTAGCGGGGCTGAAGAGCCGGCGCGCCGAGCCAGCACTAACCTCGCTTACGGCGTAGGAGGCTCGGAAATGAACGAGGGTGCGCCGATGATGTACGGCGGTGGCGGCTGCGGTTACGGCGGCGCCGGCGTGTTCGTTCTAGCAGGACAGGAGCGGCAGTCGCGCCACTACCCGCTGGACGTGCTGCAGGTATTGGGCGGCGCCGCGCCCGCGCCTGCTAGTACGCGCCGCGCGCCACGCAAAGAGCGCCCACCGCGCGACCCTCGCGACGCCACGGCTTTCGGCTACGACTCGGACGATTCCAGTCTCTCCAGCAATGCCTCCGGATCAAACAAATCTAGCGAGAAGGGTATGTTCGTCATAACATAATCTACTACTTGATACCACAAGGTAATCTAACACTTTGCAGCTGTATTTGACATTTACCTTCCCAGCTATGCATATTTATGTCTGCTAACAAATGACATAATTCTAGAATCTGTTATAAAATTAATATGTGGGTAAGTTAATATTCAGAGTCAGCTCATGAACTTGGAAACTGTTTTGCTACTACCCTACTACTGTTATTGTCATTAGATCTAAATGTATGTACTTCTCTACAAGTGTGTACTCTCACAAGGGCTGAGTTTACTCTATATGCTTACAGGTATAAATTATGTCTACTTTCTAACCTATTTATAATGTAAAATTGCATATTATTATTTATAGTAAACTTTCATCACAATTTCTTTTGTTTATAACCCAAAATATTAAATATGGTATCAAAAAGTATGAATCCAACATTATGAAAGCATTATGAATCTTCAATGATCTTGATACTTCTTAAATTATTGTACTGATACTCAACTGGTAATATTTTGAGCATGTAATAACCAGTGTTAGGTAACAGCCTATCTAAACAATGTAACCTTGTCTCTGTGTAAATAGGTAAACAAACATTTCATTAATCCTGCCAAAACGTACAAATGGTGAATCTTTTCCACTACCCACACACTTGTAGTACTTTTCAATTTGTAACTTGATGTTATTTCAAATTGGAAATTGATTTGTTTAGTGAAATTTGATTTCTTTATTCAAATAGCCCTTTAAACTACAAATGCTTTGTTAACTTCTGTGCAATCACTTTGCTGTTTGTAGAATTTTTCAGAGCTGTCATTTACTTTCCTTGCTAAATATAGAGAGGGTAAGCTTGATACAAAAATGTAAAAGTATAAGATATCATCGATAATTCTGACACACACATCTTAGGTCCATTGGGAGGACTTCTTTTTCCTAATATCCAATGATAGACTATCTTACGATTGATGTATGGTTCAGAAGGCACGTCACGCAGCAGCGAGCGCGTGGGCAGCGCTGGAGGCGGGTGGGGCGGCTGGGGCGTGCGCGGCGGAGAGTGGCGCGGGCGACGCGAGCGTCGAGACACGCGACCAAGGCACCGCATCGCGCCAGAACGGTACCTCAACGCTGCATACCCCTTCCAAGTCAAATTCACGCCTGACGAGCTGCTCAATGGTGAGACTACTTACTACAACATTCACCCTTCATCTAGAATTATCTACTTTAAGACTTGCTTGTTGGCACATGACACAAAATTTAATATATTTTTATTTTTCGTCATCTGCTATCAATTCCTGGATCATCAACTGATTGTGCTAACTTGTTTGGAATAGAGTTCTGTGACGTGAGTCTGAACTCTACTCAATGCTCAAGTCAGGATTTGAGCAGACTTGAGTATGATTTCAAGCATTGGAAATACAACCCTAATGGACTTGAGTATGATTTTCCGTGTTCACTGCAATACTCAAGTCCTCAATACTCAAGTCCTGACTTGAGTATTGAGTAGAGTTCTGTAGTATGACCCTTAGTGTGTGTAATTGAGATAACCGACCGATGCTTATGGCTGCAGGATCTTGCCAACACATTTTTGTGCTGTGGTTATGAGTCTTTATGTCCTTCATATAATTTTCCCTGACCAACATTGAACTACAGTTTTTAGCGCACCATGTTGGAAACACTGCACAATCTTTAAATTAGGGGAGCTGGAGGAGCACCACAACTTCAATGAGTGTAATCATATTGGTTTCAGGACAGATTTATATGTATTGATCATACATTGTTTCATTTTAATGTACAGGATCAGAATGGGACACATTATCACAAGAAATTTGGGAGAAATTTGTCAAATCACAACAGACTGAGGAAACCTTTCGTAAAAAGATGAACCTCTGGCGATATCTCTACATAACAATAAAGGTCAGCAAAGCTTTTTTCATATATTTTCTGAACATTTCATGAAAAATTTTATTTTGCTGCGTATACCTCTTCAAATAAGTTTTGTTGTAATTGCCAAATATGACACGGAAATGAGGGGAATATAGATAGATTTTTTCTAGTCATATTATTTATAGTCAATTGTTTTATTTAAATTACATATTTATTACTTTCAGTTTGCTATTTTGTAATCATACTTTGCTCAATAAATTTATTATTTTATTATTGGAATGAGTAACTTAATACTTAAACAGAAAAATAATATTTACACAGTTGATTCAGAATTGAAATTATTTTTCGTTGTAACCCCATTAACAACAACATGTGAGATGATATTTAGTTTTCATCTTTTTATTCACCTATTGTGTCTATTTATTTATTACAATCCTATTGATTTGATATGGATGTGAAAGGCTGAGAACATAAAGTGCCAAATAATATTTTTTACTTCCAAGCATTTTAAAGAGGAGGATTAAGATTAAGGAGAATTTAAATGCATAATTAAGAGTAATTATGCATTTAAAATCAATCTTAGTCAAATAATATAATTATGTTAAATAAAAGACAAACAACGATAGAATGTAATGTCTTTTACCATTGCTTGATTTCATTCTGAAGTAGTTTTTGAAAACATCTAAATTCCAAAATATGGTCTTATGGTCCTTTACATACCTAAAGTATATTGTGTTATTTGTACCACCTAGTAAATGTCTAATTGTTGTTGCAGTCAATATTCCCGCGCTACGGGCTATACGTGGTGGGCTCGACTATGTCGGGCTTCGGGCTGGACTCGTCCGACATGGACCTGTGCCTATACGTGCGTCCCGTTGACAACCTCGAGCCGCGTGCGCACGCTCTCTTACACCTCAACTACATCCTCTCGTACATCAAGAGCTTCGACCCTAGTAAGTCTCTTAGCATCGCAATAAAAATAATGACGAATGATAGAGGCTAATTTAATTTCGTATAATAATAAAATAGAGGTGGGTAAATTGCGTTAACTCTTGGTTTACTTGCAAACTGCAGGAATTTGAACCAATTGGGTACAGGACCTTAAGTTGTGCCATGACCATTATGAATATCATGGGTCTTTTAGCTATGGTTAAAAACTGGGCTGACTGTTTCTGAATAAGTTCTATGTTTTTTTTTTATAAATCAAACAGCTTTAAAAAAAACCCTTAATGAAAAATAGGACTAAAAACATAGCCATCATTCTTCAATCGATTATATAAATCTTGTCGCTATTACGGGTAGCTTATTTGAGAAGAATATTGGGAACAGCCATTAAAAAAAATTGTCCTTATCTAATTAGAGGTACTGGAGTGAAGATGCTATTTAGAATTAATGTATGGCACTGTCGGCCTAGACGCGGAGCTAATCCAGGCGAAGGTGCCGATCCTGAAGTTTCGCGACGCACGCAACGGTCTACAGATCGATCTCAACTGCAACAACGTCGTCGGCATCCGAAACACCAATCTGCTCTACGGCTTTTCCACAAGTCAGTCTGTTTAATTAAGTTTATTTAATTTTAGTAGGATCTTTTCTATTGTCACAAGACAAGACTACGACGTGTTGACTACGGTCAATTAAATTTAACAAGGTATAACTTGCGCAAAGAGCAATTAACTAATAGTAGTTTGTGTGACTGTTACATAATGAAAGGAATGAAAATACGAGCATGGGTTTCATAAAAACATCTCACGAGTTTTTTAATGCCTAATTATGTACAGTTACATACACTGCTTTATCTACACACATATTATAAGCTCTGTGATATGTTCAGGAACCGCATGTTACGACTGGCGAATTGGCGGCAAATAAAGACTTTTGTCACGCATGTCACACAACCGTAGTTTTTATTTTTAATTCATAGATAAATTAGAATCGGCCCCAACTACCATATCGTTCGATATCAAGTAACTTGTGAAATTGTCAAAATTGTTTACTATTTCAATAGTAAACAATTCGAATAAAACTTCATTTCGACTTCGAATTGAGGTCAAATCAAATTGTTTTGTTTTTCAGAGATGTTCGAAATTTGAATGTAATAATAACATCGAAATAAAAACTCTTTCACAGATAAGAAATGTGTTCTAACAGTTTACCTTTATGCTGGTCGTAATTTGCGGTTTTTGAACACATTATAGAGAGTTTATGATATGTGTGTAGATAAAATAATATTTTGTCGAGCTAGTGTGTTTCGTGTTGACGCGCAGTCAGGCTTGCTTGGTCAGATGGACGGGAACGGGTGTTACGTTCGCAGTGGACTGGCGCGTGCGGCCGCTGGTGGCGCTGATGAAGCTGTGGGCGCAGGCGCACAACATCAACGACGCGCGGCAGCGGACGCTCTCGTCCTACTCGCTGACGCTGATGGTCATCCAGTTCCTGCAGTGTGAGTATCGCGGCCGCGTCGACGTCGCCGGCGACGAGCGGAGAATGACCACATGCGTTGCAGGCGGCACGGTGCCGGCGGTGCTGCCGCGCGTCTGGCAGGCGGGCTGCGGCGGCTGGGAAGCGCTGCGAGGCACCAACCGCTTCACCCTGGCCGAGCTGTTCCTGCACCTGCTGCGCTACTACGCCGAGTTCCCCTGGGACAAGATGGCGGTGTCGGTGCGGCTGGGCCGGCCCGTGGCCGTGGCCGAGTGCCGCTGCGCGCGCGCGCACAAGAACGACCCGCACCAGTGGAAGCTGCTGTGCGTGGAGGAGCCCTTCGACCTCACCAACACGGCGCGCTCCGTCTACGACCCCGACGAGTTCGAGCGCATCGTGCGCACCTTCCGCCTGGCGCACCAGCGCTTGGCCGCCACAAGGCGGCTGGCCGACGCCTGGCCGCAGCAGGCGCCGGCGGCGGCGCCCTTGCGATGATACCGCCTCTTTCTCTGTATATACTGTACAGTTCCAGGTCAGTCTCGCCTCGCTTCGATTCGATATTAAAAAAAATTACACACCTTTGAAAGGAACGTAATTTTCAGTCAGTGACATTTTATCATTAAAACCTATCTGAAGTCCACTAAGTGACAAATGGTCGAATATCCGTTTCAAATAGCAAAAGAGAGCAAAAAATTCTCTTTTAAGAACAGGTAAATTTAGTTAAAGTATTCGACTTATCGGAACTTACCCTAATGATGTATAGCTGAAATATTATTGAACAATTTCAATATTCTGAAACTGAAACATATTTTGTCACTTAGCCTCGTTTTACATGACAGACCGTAGCTATGCTGAGGTGGAGATGATTCTCTTGAAACTGGCGCTGGATTAACACAGGTGTTTGTGACGCAGGTTAAGTGGTACGGGAAAACGTGTCCGAGACCGGCTCTCGGCGCTTCCCAGTAAGGAAAGTGACGCGAAGGAGTGCGGACAAATCTGTAGGTGCTGTACGGCGTCTATCCGCCAATGCTGTATGAAATTGGCCAGCGGGCAGTCGCGCAAAATATTCCGCGCTATCGACCTCCTCGGGCTGTGATATGCGACTGATTCCCCTACAAATATGTTCTAGATATAGTGTTGACTCGTACTTAGCTGCGCCGTAGCCGGATCGCACGGCCATCGGGCGGACTCGCGACTTCCAGTTCCTAGCTGATGCAATTACTCTCCACTACCAAGACTAGTTTCGCGATTCATATTTCTACATACCGCAAATATATTTTAGACTTAATAGAACAAATGCCACTATGAAAAATTATATGTTTACATTCCATAGTGCCATATTGTCGAATGATTATTATTATTGGTATTGTTATTTGTAGTTGTAAGAATTGACAGTTTCTAAACGTGCATTGTGTTCTTGATAAGCTCCTCAGAGGCAGAGTGGTGAGTCGACTTCGGCCACCGCATACGAGGAACATATTGCATGTTTAGCAATGTTTCAATACCAAAGTACGACACTCGGGCTAGAAGGCAGAGAACCTTCGCTTTAGGCCACACATAGTCATATCAGTGCAACACGAGGTTTTCGTTCTACTGGCCGGAGTGTATCATGCATCCTTCGTTGTAGCATACAAGCTGCTAGCATATCTATGAGAAGCATACACAAGACTGAACTCGCTTGTATTGCAAATACTCCTACGAACAGTCAGTAGTTAAGTTGCTAGCTAATATCGATACTGCCTGAAATTAGAAACATTCAAATACAGAATGTTCTATATTGTTCCTTGTACATAATAGTGGTTGAACTCAATTAGAGTATCCCATGGATTTAATTTAGAGTCGAAGCGAATTATGCCTCACGATGCGTCCTACTCGTTTTTAACGTTTATATTGTTTGTAAGTTATTTAATTATGTACATAGTAAGGATGAAGAGAGAAAAAAAGATAAATATTGAATTGTTTTAGGGTCGTGAATATTTTATGTAAATAGTTTTGTTACGAGTAAAGAGTAAATGACAAAAAAATATATAAAAGTTAGACTATGTATGTGTATAGCGCCGTCTGGTGTATGCCTGGCGATGTAGAGCATGAACGCAGTTCTGGCCAGGCGATGGCGACTGTTGTGCGGGGGCACGGGGCGGCGGGCGGCGAGGGAAATTCGCTGTGATATTCATCGTGCGTGTGGCAACTCACTACGGCACGATGTTTTGAAAAGTAGTTACAAATTAAGATACGACGCAGTAAATGCAGTCATAAGGTGCTATTTGTACATGTTTTGCCTCAATTTCGCAGCTCAATACCAAATAATTCCGTAGTTGTTAGTCATAATAACTCATACGTGATCTCTCACGCTCCGATGGTGCTAGTGTGTTACTTTGCCTAAAGGAACCAAGCTTAGCTATATTGAAATTTTAAATGTATAAGTATATTATAATTAGCACGTTCAGAATTCCTAATCGCGGTGGAGTGAAATGTAAACAAACAAATCTTGTAATTCGTATAAATCCTGCAAACTAAATCAAGTTTGTATAAATGTAACTTCATTCAGGTTGGGAATGCTGTATGCGTTGGCAGAATAGGAAATTGAATCATTTGACGGCAACATTTACACCTCGTCCTCCGTAAGGGTTTTAACGAAACAAAACATTAACCAAAAATGAAATTTAGCTTATTGCATTTTTTACTCTTTCGTTTTAACAGTATGAACTACAACTATTTATTAAAAATATATCAAAATAATTATTTTGAAAAGAAGACATATATTTTGGCATTTACAAACACTAATTGGATAAAAAATGAGTAGTCAGATAATTCCTAGTCGGTGCGTGTAGCCGTGTTGTGTATAGCGGGCGCGGCGCCGGCGCAGGGCGCGCGACCGCGTGGCATCCAACCGATATGTTTCAGCGATGCCACCTTCTTGTTAAGTTCGTTCGTTTCTTAGCCTGTAAAGATGAGCAATTGTTAAGTTTTATTATTTTGCTCAATTGTTATTTAACAATATGCCATCGTTTAATTCGTCCGCAGCCCACGCTCTATTAATTTTTTTTATTGAAATGTTAAACGCCTGGCGATTTTATAAACATTATGTATAAGTTTTATATCGATTTTACATAAGAGGCACTCGGCCACGCTGAATATAAAAGTACAATAAATAAATGAATAATAATTTTAAAAACGAGCTATCTTTAAGAAAAGTTATTAGAATAATATAAAAAGTGTCTCAAAAACTGTTTAATTTTTGAAAAAGATATAAAAATGATGAAGCCGATACAAAAAAAAATTATAAAGAAAAATACAAAAAAATAAAAAAACTTCAAAAATCTAAAAAAAATATAAATTTGAAAAAATATATCTGAAAAAAGCCATTTGAATTTGACTTGGATCAGGGTCCGTGTTTATCGCATGTTTTACTTTGTTCGATTTTATTGTATGGCGACCATCTGCCTCACGCTGTTCATTTATTTGCATTCAATTATGAACATGCGAGACATCTGTGCAACCGATATATCAGGCGGTTTTAGTCGTGGAACTAATCCGTTGTATATATCGAGTTTTAAGCGACCAGCTACAATTGCACCAGTAGCTTATTTTTGAAACGTTCAAAATTATCATTAACCCTAGCAAGTTGGTTCGCTTTTTATCGTTTGTTGGTGCATTGGACATCCTTCATGACAATATGTATACATATTTTTCAATGTCCTTTCTTCTATTTGCATTATAAATGCATTTCATCAAAGCAAACTGAAGTCCTCTATCGTCAATTAATTTCGTTGCGAGATTATTTTTAATACGACAATAACGGAAAATAGGTGGTGATTGCGTGAGTCCAGCACTGCTAGTTCATTGTTTGATCTATTTTGTAATTGTATAGAGACTCAAATTAGTTCACTCTTTATGCTGTTCCAAGTTCTCTGTCGACCTTACACATTAATTCAAAAGTCTTAAATATTGAAATAATAAAATTCAGTTTAAAAGGGATTAGTTTTAATATTATGATATTGCATGTTTTTAATTTGAAATAATAGTGTGTATTAATATTATATTTAGGTACTTATTTTACTGTATAGGTTTTTTTTATAAATGTGAATGTAAACCAACAAAAATTTATTTACCCCTTTTAAATTGACTACTTAAAAATAACTTGTGTATTAATATTATATTTAGGTACTTATTTAACTGCATAAGGTTTTTTTATAAATGTCAATGTAAAGAAACAAAAATTAAGTTACCCCTTTTAAATTGATGACTAAAATAACTTCATAAGTCGCAGCTTGTCTCAATCACGAACTAGATACTGGATTGTAAATAGCATATAGCCACCTAATTTCGTTTCAGTATTTCCAAACTTAGCTTAGTAAATACGCAAAATAGCACTGCCAATTCGTGAATTTATGTGTATCATGCAGTTGTGTCCATCTATTTTTTTGTCCGTACATTTCAATTATAAAAATTGTCGTGTGTATGTTTTTGAAAACAAAAATGTATGTACTTAATATATGCCAGAGTTGGTTCAAGGGAATAAAATGCTACATTATGGACTATACCACGTTTTGTTAGTTTCAGAAAATGTAAAAGTGTTCATTATCCAGAATTGTATTTATGTAATTATTGTATATTATATAAAACCTGTAACGTATTTTTCGCGATACCAACATATAATCGGGTTTATCCGAATATTGTTGTTTTGTAACGTTTTTGTCGCGTTTTTGACAAATTTTCTCTTGTGTTGCATTTTATTTTATTGAACACAAGCAATTTTTATTGTCGTTGTTGTACAAAGAAATTAAATAGTTAAATATATTATACAAACTGCCAAATACTTGTTTTATTTGCAGCGGTCCCGACTACTTTATGTAGGTACTCATAGATACATCCTTTTTCAAATTTCATACCTTTTCCAAACTCTGTAATGCTGTTTCCCTTTCCTCTGTGTTATAAATGCGAAGCAAAGCAAAAATAATGCTTATACAAAAATTCGCCTGAATTGAGCCTCTATTCCCACCTGTTCTGTTGAGTAGTTCTGTCGGCAGAACTATTGGGATTGAGCCTTATATTGCGGCGGAACAGAATGAAAGCTAATTTTTCTGATAATATTGTAAGTTTATGGCTTGGACTATTTTTTTCCATCCTCTAAGCTTTATGGCGAATCCGCGGGATGTGGCGCGAAGGTAGGCGCAGTGTGACTGTAATGTCAAACGTGAACAAAAACTCCGCCTTTGATTCCATTCCGTGTATAAATTGAGTCGCAATATAAATTGAGCCTTAGCATTTTGAGGTTCTATTCTACTGTAAAGTTATTGAAACAGTTCACGATATAAGAACACCATGATCATTTAAGAGGGAGCCGAGGAAAAATTCCTAATCTTCGATTTGATTTTAGGGGGGTATATCCACTTTAAAGTTAAAAATAAAATATTGTATGAGTAACTACACGATATATTCAAGCATAGACTTTAATTAGAAACAAAAAACAAAGTTTCCTCGATACATAAAAAGCACGAAAGGACCTCTAATTTTCACATTTTTTCGATTTATCCTCGAAATGCTACAGGTTATTAGGACAAAAATTTGATAATTAATTATATTTACGCATGATCGACAACTGTCACTACGGATTTTTTTTAATCCCTTTAGTTTTTGAGTTATTCCGCTTAAACGAATTTAGTACTTTTAATGCGCAAAATTCAACATCTCCTGTCGCATGTCACGCGAACTTCAGGCATATATTTGTTTCACAAATTTGGGCGGAGCCAACGTCAAAACTTTTTTGGCATGAGAGCTCTTAACTAAATGCATCGTAATGTTCCACGTCTACAACGAATATTATCCTAAAGCAATAGGCAATCGGACAATAGAAAAAAAATCACGTCACGCTTGTAAGTCAATGCGTCACGCGTTCAATTTTACATTTTGTTACGTTTGCGCGCCAATTTGTTTCTATTTAAATTTTAACATAGTTTTAGCACATTTTAGAGACTATTAAGCTTTATTTTAGTAAAATATTATTTTTCATGGCTGTACGTATCTATTTTAGTTAATTCTAGGCACTTTCTGAAAAATTGTCCGATTCCCTATTATAATGGCTAGATAGAATACCTTAATATCTAACTAAAACGTTAAGTTAAATGTAGTTTTATGTGTTATTAACCTCAAAAATTATTTAAAACCGAATTTAGTACCTTTGTTTAAAAAATTATACCACCATCATAACGAAGTTATAGCAATATCAAAGGTACACTCGCCGTATTGACTGTCAATATGGCGGGTGCACCTCGGATTACCAGTATTTATTTATTTATTTGGGATAACAACCGCAAATAATGATAAGTTACAAAAAAATAAATTACATATTACAAAGCCAGTAACAGTTATCCTCGATTTATACCTTAAAATAAAAACAGAGCACGGGGTGTCCATGAGTATGATAAATAATTATACAGGTTATATACATACATGTAATTGTGAAACAAATTAAGTAAATTAAATACGTACACTTACATACAAACAATATTTACTATACACAATAAAACTTAGTATTACTAATTATTATACACTATACCTACATATGAATACAACTTAACCCAAAATCATAAATACTTCTAACATTATAAAAATATCAAACTATAACTATAAAAGAAATTAATAAATAAATGAGCAAAATAAAATAAATTAAGTGAACCTACGCATTGCATTTGAAAATTAATTCTTTAATGTTTGACTGAAAAATTTAAAAAAAATTTACAAAGGGATCAACGTCATAGAAATATTTATTGTAACCAGTAAGTAATCTTGTGAGCACAGAGTTTTTGCTGTAGTTTGTGCAGTGAAATGATACATGAAAAAGAGACGTACGTCTGGTACGACGGGCAGGCACTCGAAAACTTATTTGCTGTAATAAATCAGAACAGTCCAAACGACCACTGAGTACATCAAACAAAAGACCCATATCCAACAACTCACGACGCTCCAGGAGACTTAACAAATTGTATGTGTGACAGATATCAACGTAAGGTGAATGATGATAGGTTAATTTACATTTATAATTCAAATGCTTTAGGAACCTCTTTTGAATTCGTTCAATTTGATTAATATCAACACTATAGAGTGGCGACCATATAGGACTAGCATAGTCCAATATGCTACGGACATATGCCGAATACAATAATTTTAAAGTGATTGCACAATTAAACGATTGACAAGTTCGTAGAACAAAGCCCAAGTTCCTAAATGCCCTGTTAGTGATACTGTTAAATTAAAATGACGAGACATAAGCATTTTGGAATCAAAATAAACACCCAGGCACAATGTGGGTCCTCTCAATAGCGATGCCATTGAAATGGTACGGATATACAATTAAATTTATTTTACGAGTAAAACTTATACATTGACATTTACTGGCGTTGTCTGTGATTCTGTTTTTTATAATAATTGTTTAAATCTTGTTGTAATAGCTCACAGTCAGCTGTGGATCGGACTTGCATGTAAATCTTTTTGTCGTCGGCATAGAGTAAGTTCTTAGCGTTAATTATGTGATTATTAATATCATAAATATAGGCGTTGTAAAACAGAGGTCCAAGGTGTGAGCCCAGAGGGAGGCCGGACGGAATTGTAAAATAATCGGACCTAAATCCTCCCAAGACCACAGCCTCAGAACGATTGGTCAAATAAGATCGCACCCAACGAAGTAAGTCTCCGTGGATACCTAATGTCTCTAATTTGTGGAGGAGGGTGTCGTGGTCCACACGATCATCGAAGTCAGTGTAGACCGCGTCAACCTGACCTCCATTTTCCATTTCATTTAGTAAATAATTTGCAAACACAGCCAAGTTTGAGACCGCAGAACATCCTCTAACGAACCCAGGCTGAGTCAGCGGTAACCCTGCCGCAATAACTCTGTATATATTGTTGTATTGTATTCAATAACTATAAAAACTTCTTATTTCAAAAATTTGTACCTTAATAGTAATCTAAAGTAAAGGAAACTCCAGCTCGATGTGCTGGTTAGTTTCTGAGAAATAAGACAAAATATAATTGAATATCAATTCAATAAAAGTTTAAAATACAGTGAATAGCGTCATCTCTCTCCAGGGCCGGTAGCTGTAAAGATATCTAACTGGGTGATAAAACTTTCATAGATTTCTCATAGATGGCGCTACGACTAAAAAGTCGTTGAAAAACCAAATACAAAGACACGACGACAACAAGCACATAGAAAAATTCTGAGGTCCGCTGGTTCGTTCCGTGGCTTTTGTAGTTGGTATTGCGTCTGCCACGGTGTGCTAGAATACGTCGGTTCGAATCCGGCCGGATCGAAGGAATTTTTTCTGAGTGTCGATCTTTGTATTAATAATTATAACATATTACTATATACTAGTGAAGTAATTTCACAAAAAATAATTGAATATCAATTCAATAAAAATTTAAAAGACAAAATATGTTGAGATTTCAGAGTGCCGTGTGCACCTTAACGAATCCTGACATATTTGGTACCAAAAAATGTACCAAAATTGTACTATTTAGTATTTATTCTTAGACAATTTGTACCTCTGTCATAACGAAGTTATAGCGAAATCAAAATTGTAAATATATTCGTACATTTTTTTAAATAAATTTCCGCCATTTATTTGGATAAGCAAAGGTTCCACCGTACAGCCTCCTTATATGTCAGTATCTTTCCTTGTTTCGATTGAAAAGGTAACAAGCGCGTGTCCATTTATTGTCCATAGTTAATTCCCGAGTAAAAATATTTCAATCGAATTTGATCTTAAAACCATTGGAATAACGTATAGTTATCATAAAAAAAGTGAAAAGTTAATTTCGGGGCAAGAGGAACATACAGGTTAAGGTCAGGGGTGACAAATTAAAACATGTGTGTCTGAAAAAATGTGAATCTGATATATGTTTTTTTTTGCAGGGTCAAGAGCACGTCAAGCTTGACACTTAAGACTTAAATCCAACTCTATGCCGCTTGCGAGAAGAGAGGTCCAAAGTACAAAGTTTCAAGCTTGATGTGCTCTTAACTGTACAAAGCATAATAAAGGCATATTTTTAACCATTCGTTTACAAATCAACACATTAAGTAACTAAAGTACTTTTTAAACAACATCATAATAGAAAAACAATGTTTGGTCCAAAAATAAATTTATACTTCTAACAAAAATCTTTCAAAATTATATTTCCTAAACATTAGTTCCCCGAAAATCAGTGACTTAGAAGTTATGATTTTTTTTTGGAGTTTTTTGAAAATTTTCTTCTCTAGTCACCAAAACCATTTTGAAAACAGTTCCAAATTTGAAATTTGGTATAGAAGTAGTGTGACCACGTAGCTAACCTGCAATGAGCCATTTTTGTGTTCTTAGATTACGTCATCATTCGACTAAAATACAAAATTTTCTAAAAATTCGTGACGGAAAAAATGTACCATCAGAATTTTGCTGTTGGCCTTAAAAACTACCTTAACATGTGTGATTGATTAGACATAAAATTGTAGTGGTGTAATTATTGTAAATTACCATAAATATAAATTACCATCTTACATACAATTAAATGTAAATTACCATCATGTGGACGAAGTCACTAAAATTTTACCAAAATTTACGATTACTATCAAAAACGTTATTTGAACAAATTTAACTTGATGTTTAAAATCGATATAAAGTTGTGTTTGTTCGAATATGACAATATTCTATTATAATTCTTCAAAAAGTTTGTCATCCCTGACACGGGAAGGAGGCACGTAGGTTTCTCTTACCCCGTAAGTATTAGATCCTCTTACCCCAACAATGTTTTTGGCGATTAGGATTTTGATTCGAATGAAACTCGTATTATTTGTTCTTTTTGGTCTGAGATAACTAATAAAAAGTAAAACTTACCGTTTTCTCTACGTGTTTTTCTATAAAAATAACCTCTCAAAGCAATTTTTTTCACCAAGGTCCAGCAAAGAAAAAATTACGCGCCCATCTAGTGTTTTCAGACTACGCAACTGTAAATTTTTTTTTTCTTAAATTAGCAACATCGTAGCGAGATTCGCTCTGGACCTTTTGGAGAGAAAAGTGTCGTTTTTATTTTGACTTTCAATTATTTTGTGAAATCTAGTTTAAAGTGGAATAGGATAGTATGTATTCGTATACTAGTTAACATCGAACAAACAGTGTCTTGTAAACCGTATTTTATAAAACATAAAATTCTGACAATAACTTCTATTTATGTTTTGGAGTGCTGTAAATTTGTCCTTAAACATTTTGAACTTTATTCCCCCATTACCATAGTAAAACGAAATAATCGCGGCTTAAACAAACTAAAATTACCCTTTTCTACCCTAAGTCTATATAGGACAGGATCTCACTCTATGGCAATCCAAATATTTAATGCTGTACCAAATAGTATAAAAAGTCAACCAAATATAAAAAAGTTTGAAAATCACCTCAAAAAATATCTTCTGGACAACGCATTTTATACATTACAAGATTTTTTCTCAGAAAATAACACTCAAATACTGTACTAGTTTTGATTTGTTTAATGTAAGTTTTATTTTTGATATTGGGTAATTATATGAGAATTTTTTTTGACTATTTTAGTAATGTATAATTTTTGACAATAAATATGACATGTAATGTAATAGATATGTAAATGGAATATTGTAAAGTGTGCTCTCTCTCAGACGTTGCAACGCCCTACCGGGGTGCTATATTTATAAGGAAAAAATGTAAAATTTAGATCTAAGAAAACCATGTAGCAAGCAATGAATAAATAAATAAATAAATAAATAAATAAATAAATAAATAAATAAATAAATAGTGCTATTGTGCCTTAATCGAAGATTAAAACGCGAAATTATATGAATCTCGAACTAGAATATCCGTATCGGCCCGTTTTAAGGAATCCCGAGTCAATCCAAACACGCGTGCCGTCTCAAATTGCCTATCCTCTTTGTGGCGGTCATATTTACAGAAACAAACTTCATGTTTAGGCTGATGGCTTTGCCAAAGCCTTAATAAATAAAAAAAAAAAATAATTTAAACATCGTAGCGACATCTCTTTAAACTAATTTGTCTGTTTTATCGACTGAGACTATAGTGCTAAACGCTTTACTTTAGGTATTACCCCGGTGTTCCTCTTAACCCACTTGACCTTAACCGAAATAATCGGATCTCAATTATAGGCGCTTCTCGGGATTAAAACATAGGATTACTCCAGTGTAGACAGACCCTAAATCTTCTTTATTTTTGAACTGGACCAACTTGAATGTATATTTTATCCTCGATTACAGTAACGTTTGGGTATAGCCACACACTAGCTTCAAATAATAATACGTGAATATTTCGTCATTTTACCTTTATTGACATTAATTTTTGAAAAGTACATATTTTATAGAATACAAAATGAAATATTCTCCCCACGAGAGAACGAGAGAACAAATCATAAAGGTTTCACTTCACAGTCGTACTTCACATCAGTTGAATTTTTTATAATATCTATCTAAAAGGTTTCTAATATTTGTATGTAACCTTATTCCTAGTAAATAATAATAAAGCGAAAATCACACTAAAATTTATCAAATCATATTCAGTGCTAGGCAGAGTACCGTTTAAAATGGTTCTAATTTCAGGATACTCGTTTTATAAGGTGATGCAACAGATCTCTTTCTTCTACATTATTTGTAGGCAGCAGATGTGTATTCAGGAAATATACAACTTACAATTAATAAAATTAGAAAAAAACAGATAATCAATATTAAAAACTGCTATTCAGCAGACAAAAACACTGCTATTCAGCAGGCGAACAAAAGCGAATCGACGATGTCGAAACACAAGGAACTAAATATCAATGTCAAAATACTGTTATCCTAATAATAAAGAAAATCTTAAGAGCCCTAATCGAATCGGCTTCCTTCGTGCTCTTCCTGCCTACCATATCAGGCCACTCGCTCAGGCGTACACTATATCCCTGTCTCTCAATCTTCAACATTCTAGTTCTAAATTACAATATAATATAGAGCCTAAACTTTTACCTAATTTTAAAACACTACAAATATATCGGGACAGCTATCTTTGTTGTTTTTGGACAGATCTCCACAAAAATAATATTAATATACATACATAATATTTGTGTGACCAAAAAACTTGTGGATGGGTAAATATGTTACACAAAATAGACATCCTTGCATTCAGTGTAGTTTACCAGATTATTGCATTTCGAGGCAACAGGCTTGGCTCCTCGTCATGAACTAATATCTATCGGATCTGTTACTGGTGTGCTCGACTGAATAGGCAGCCAAGCAGATGCGTCGATCAGTGACTTTGGTTGACTAGCCACCGACTGCGGAGTGATCACAAAAGAACAGCGAGTCGGTAAGCGAGGATGACGCGAGCACGGGCGTTACTTCTTCGCGTTTGATGCGCTGTTTTCTGACGCATCAGATTTCTCCTCGGTTTTCACTACCTTGCCTTCACCTGTTAAGAAAACAAAACTAAATAATACGATTCTCATCTCACGATTAGGAATCATGACCCAAACATAATGTTTACTTTGCACGGTGGGATTGGATCAGGAGCGCCTTAAAAGTCGTCTTTGTGAACGGTAGAAGCAGGCAGCAAGACACAGCGTCGAAAAACTCGCATCTGCGTCCGCTACCTGCGACTAATCGCGCGCTACGACTCGTCATCGTATCATCATTTCCAATCTTTACCTACATGACTCGCGGTCTTTTTGTATTCCTGGAAACAAATCAGTACGTACCGTTAGGCGTCTCGCCCTCAGCGTCAGTGTTGGAACGCCTGCGTTTGCGGGGGAACTTCCACGCACCCGTAGGGTGCTTTATCTTAGGCAGCGGCTCCATATCTAGCACCTGCCGAATACATTCTGATAAGTTTTTTCAAGATGATATTGAAGCTCGAAATGAATCTGTAAACTATTACTAAATCTAAAATAAATGCTTTAATAAAAATAATATGCCTGAAAATACCTTGTGAATCTGCCTAAATGCGATTTGTCTCAAGAATTGCTGCGCCGAAGCAGTCAAGTCTTCACGCTTCTGCGGTGGCAGATTGCCGAGAGCATCCTAAGAACCAATAAACCATTTATGGTAATCAAAATTAAAAACCAAACCAGTCCTGTTCGCTTAGATTAATTAATACGTACGACAAGCTCCTTCTCGCAGGGGTCCCGCAATCCAGGCCCTTGATCAAGTAGCAGTCCGCCGGCCACGGCCTCCATCACACGGCGCAGTGCCTCGCCGGGTGACAACGCCGAGCCCGCGGACTGCATCACTCCCGACACCAGCAACTCCATTGCCTACGCCACATCACACAATAAAGGTCATTTTCGCAAGGTTAAAACATTTGCTTTTATGTTCATTATTTTCTTACATATGGATTCGAAAGAAATGTTGACTCACGTAAGGGTTGAGCGGAGTCCAGTTGGGAATACGACGGCAAAGATCCCTCATGATGCGAATGATGATAACGCACGACTGCAGGCTTGCCGCTCTAGCCTGCACACAGATATACGGTCAGACGCCGGACGGTGGCCGCGCGCGCCGCAGGGTCGCAGCACGCGCGGGTCCCAATTTATTGCTCCTCTCTTAGCTCGAATTACGTTACAGTTAAGTGGGCAAAAGCACCAAAGAAATAAGAGCAATAAATATGGTGTTATTCACGTTTCCTTGTTTATTAAACTGCGTTTCCTGATACCTCCCATTGGCTATCGAAGTGCGAGCGGAAACGCAGCTTTCTATCGTAGATAAGCACTTGTAGCCACATGTTCATGGGGGTTTCAACATCTTAATGCTTTAGTAACTTAAAATACTACTATTTGATGGTAAATAAAAACAAACATGTGACTAATAAATACGTGCGCACTCCAACTTTTACAGATAAAAATGTTTCATATGACTGAAACAAGAGTATTTAACAAAACTCAATGTGAATGCTACAAAAAATGATTGGTCAAACCAAAAGCACTTGCAACTAAAACGGATTTATTTTTATTTACTAATTAACGATTGTTAATTGTTGCTTTCAAATAGGGCGGAATTTCACACCGCCACGAGGTTTTTTATATATAAATGTCCAAAATTATATTAGGCAAAAAATGGGACCCACGGTAATAAGTGCAGCTGCAAACGCTCGTGGCTGAACCAGCTGTGATTAGTATGGAGTGCACACACGTAGTGTAGTGGCGAATGTACCTGGAACCACTTGGCGTGCCGAAGGGCGGCCAACGCGTCCAAACACTTCTGCCGCGGGAGCACGTCCTTGTCGTCGCGCTTTACCTCGCCGCCCTCTAGCGACAACAATACAAAGGGTGTTTGACCATCACAGCGACCATCAAAACAGGGCAAACATGAGCGCACACACACTCGCAGTTATCTGCCCTACTGCGGCCCCACTTCTGGGTGTTATTAACTCGGGGCGGGATCACACGGCTGGTCATCTCGTCCCGATATAACGCCCGAGGGACGTTCGGCAAAAATACAAGGCCGTCGACAATTATTCGTGCCGTGACGCTCACTTATCTATAGGTTTCGTGTGATGCGATACGGCCGAACTATCGTCTTACGTCTTCTCCTCGCATTCCAAACACTACTTAGCAAGTTTAATACTGACTGCAATGTTATCATGTAAATCTGTAAATAATATTACTTTAAAAAAGAAGGTAAAGGGAATTCTTCTAGTGAAACGGGATCGAGAATCGGACATAGGAAATTAAGAATATAATATTAAGAATACATAAAATAAAATATATATTATGTTTGCTCGGTTTAAGATAGTAATATACCACTGCGGAGGATGATCAAAAACCCTTCTTCTGGCCGCTTCTTACCCTATGCACACCTAAAAATAAGCATTCAACACAGGCCCGGGCGGGCGGGTAAAATAGGAACAAATTATCTTTTTCCATCTTCAACAAAAAAAAAGTAGTAAATTATTATATAAAATACATATTACATTTTATTAACATATATTCAGATAATTTGGTCGAATTGTGTTTTCGTCGATGACATCGACCGGCAATTTCAGCTATAACGTTAACGAGGTAAGGGTACAATCAGGAGATCGACCTCGCAGATCGCTCAATAGCGGGAGGAGGGATATAGAACAGGTGAGTGAAATTGGCGCGTCGACGTGGGCGACAAGCGATGCTTTCAACGTACCTGCAGGCTCGCGCATTACAGCCGAAGTGAGGCTGACCAGCACGTTGACAGTGCCATCTGACACCTGCACAGCGCCCTCTGCCGGCTGCAACTCGACCTTGTACTTGGGCTCGTCGCCGGGGCCCTGGACAATCAGCACATGTAGACTCCGCACGCGGCTCATCCTACACTCGAGATGCCGAAGGAGCTCACCTTGACCTTGGCGAGGTGAGCGGGTAAATCGGTGGCCACGCGCTTGAGCAGCGTGACGGTGGGACGGTCGTGGCACAACACCACAAGGCGCACGTCGCGATCGCCGCGCAGCACCAGACCCTTGGCCAGCAAACCCACGCGCATCACGCCCTTGAGCGCGCGCATGACGCTGCCCACGTTCGCGCCCTCACCGCCGCTCGCCCCCGACTCGCCCTCACCCATGAACGAGAAACTGCGACAGTACGTCCAAATATCATTAGCACCGAAAATTGTCATTTACAATTCATTTATAGATAGATAGGACTCGGCGAAACACGTCGTCACCTCAATAAAAACCGATGAAATTACAACTTTTTTTATAAATTTCAGCAGATCGTAATCGAAATAATTCCAACTTGCGACTGCAACTCCTGTATAACAAGTTAAAAGCTACTTATCCTATTCCGTATGTTTTATCTTAAATCTCATCTACTTTACTAACTATGCACTATTCTACAAAAAGCGAAATATCTACGCGAAAGTAAACAACATGGTGCTTTCATCAGCACACAAAACAAGCGCCTACTTCTCTCTAAATAACGGCTAGGTCGTAGCAACTCACGGCTGACGTTTTTGACCATCTTCCCTGACGAGAGGTTGCTCTTTCTTAACAGCTTGACTCGCAACAGGCAAAGGAATATTGCACACTTTCATTCGATCGTCAGGCCCTGGCTCTTTCTTAATTTGCTCTATCTTAATCGGCAGCTTACTCAACCCTTGTTTGCTGTGGCCGTAGCGCGGAAGCAAACACAAAATAATTTAAACAAAAACAGACAGGGAAATATGGTGAAAAGCGGTTTGTACTCAGACCAGGAATAAAACTTAACACTAGATAAACTGAAATGTACAGTGAGCAAATTAATAACAACTTGAAACAAACATTTAGTTGTTATGCTAACAAATTAAATAGAAATGGTTGCGTTACTCACAGTTGATTGTCGCGACCATCTTCTTTACCTTCCGGTTTATCGTCTTTCTTGTCTTCAGACTTCTTAGCGGCAACTGGTCCCTATAATCAAAACCCTTGATTGTATAGATATTCTTACAAGACTGTCATATTTTGTAATATCGTACTATCAACTTGAATATAGCTGTGCTATATATATATATATATATATATATATATATATAGCACACCCGACGTCCATTTATTGGTAGGTCAATGACAGAAACCAATTTTTTTTTAAACTTAGATTTGGCATTTACCAACTTCAGATTACATGAAATTATTGCTGTGGCTGGCTCCGTACCGAAGCTAGAGATTCGCACGTGAGTTTTATTTCAATTTAACACATTCGACTTAGAACTTTGAAAGCAGAGACGATTTTGGCGCGCAATTCTTCGACACTCGTAAATCTCCTCTGCGTAACCAAACGTTTCACATCATGCCATAAGAATAGTCACGCTATTGCAGTGAATGGTAATGCAGGTTCTCGTGAACATGGTAACGGCTCTTTTTTGCACTGACTCTTGTTTACATACCAAACCACGTGGCATTTCGTGAGAGACTAGCTAATAGATCACTAGAATTGCGGCGAGTTCGGCAATAACCCCACCCCGTCTTAACACGTAAACGAGCGCATTATAGGCATGCGCGTGTGCTCCTTTTGAGAAAGAAAGAGATAGCAACACTTTCTCGGTTCCTCCGGCTGCGCTATGGCTATAAGTTTAGCACGAGCCGCGATAGTCAATGACCTTTGGATCAAGCAGATGATTGTAAATCGGATATAGAATGACCTCTGTAAATATGGCGAGACTACAAATCATCACATTGTATTTACATAAATCACCAATATACAATCTGTTGGTTTGCATTCTCGCTATATTTACAGAGGTCATTCGAAACTGAACACAAATCACTAAAAAAAATAAACCGCAAAAAAAATTCTTAATTTTTATTTAATTGAGGTAAACATCGATCGCAATCACCTGATCCAATGGTCATTGAACCTGCACGAAGCCATTGAGGTAATCAATAATGATCTCCGTCATATTTCGACGTGGAGTAAACAATTTGGTCTTAAGCTGAACGCAACGAAAACGCAAATGATTATTATTGGCAGCTCTAGAATGGTATCCACGATAGATTGGTTTCGCTTGCCGCAGGTTATTATAGACGACACCTACATTAAAATTAGTGACAATGTTAAAAATCTAGGTATACTTATTGATAGGCAGCTATCTTGGGCACCTCAATTAGTTGAGACCAGCCGCAAATTGTTTGCGTCTGCCGCATCTCTCAGACGGTTACGTAATTGTTTACCTATTGCCACGAAAACTGCGCTTGCGCAAACTCTTCTTCTTCCAATTCTTGATTATGCTGATGCCTGCTATCTGGATTTAACCGAAGAACAGCTCAACAAACTCGAACGTCTACAAAACTTTTGCATCCGTTTCATTTATGGTCTGAGGAAATTTGATCATGTTTCCATTTATCGCAATGAGCTGAAGTGGTTACCCATTAGACTTCGCCGGAATGCTCATATTCTTAATCTTCTCTATGGCATCTTATTTATTCCTCACACACCACCTTATCTTAAGGAGCGATTTGAATTCGCCCATCAATACAACCCCCGACTTCTGCGCTCTTCTTCAACTCTCCAACTTAAGATGCCATTGCATACCTCCCAGTATTACGACAAGTCCTTTACTGTTCAGGCTATTCGTTTGTGGAACGCTTTACCTTTGTCTATTCAACAAGCGAAATCATTGACCTGGACTGCTTAGGTATTTTTATGTTTTGAAATTAAGTTTTAGAAATTTTTATATTTATAAGTATGAGAATATATAGTAGTTTACGATATTCATATATATGTATTGGTTTTATTATTTATTTATAAATATATGTATATTTGTATTTATTTATCAATTTTTATCTGTTGATTTAGTAATTCTTCATACACCACCGTCTTTTTCCTATGAATTATATAATTACTTCCATCCAAAGGTTGTCTGGCAGAAATCGCTTAAAGCGATAAGACCGCCCATTGTACCACCGCTTATTTTTAATTTAATTGTATTGTATTTGTGTCCTTTTTTGGTGTACAATAAATAATTTTTGTATTGTATTTGTATTGTATTGAACTTGCACGGTCCGTGCTACCAAAACTTATAGCGCAGCGGACCGACAAAGGAACCGCCAAAGTGTTGTTATCTCTTTCTCAAACGCAGTAAGCGCCCGCGCCTTATCAGTGCACTCGCTCACGCACTGGGGTAAGCGCCTGCCGCAATTCTAGCTAGTCTCTGGCGAAATCCTTCATAGTTTATTATGTAAACAAGAGATAGTGCAAAAAAGAGCCACTATCAGATTCACCAGAACTAACATTACCATCAAGTGGTGCTCCTTCTCATTATGGACGGCAAATGCGTTATTACTACTTATGGAGTATTGTAAAAGGTTTAGTTTACACGGAGGAGATCACTAGTGTCGAAGAGTTAAGCGCAAAAAAGTCTTTGCTTTCAAAACTACCTCCAATGAACACTACGCCAACTTAATTTTTTGGGCATTTTCCGACTCACTCTAGACAACGTGCTTATCTTTGTATAGCCTTTGTATTATAGTTAGTGGTGGACACTTCCAGCAATACTTTCTTGTAACCTAAAGTTGGTAAGTACCAAATCTCAAGTTACGAAAAAAAATTTCAGTCGAAGTTTTCTAATTATTGTAAATAATTAGTAAATTATAGCAATACATAATCATAATAAAAAATTGGTAAATAAGCGATCGAGAAAGATTACGTATCGCTCGGTGAAGCGCTGGTGGCTCGGGGTCTTTGCTCGCGATGATTTACGGTCAATTTTGCAAAACTTTATTATAGAACAGACTATGTTTTAGCATTATTTCTATTATTAATTCTTAAGTATGGCGAGAACGCAAATCAACACATTGTATAGTACATCAATATCACAAAATTACCTTAGGCTTGGCCTGGTCCTGCAACGCATCAGAAAGCGACTTGAGGGCCTTCTCGGTATGCGAAACGGCACGCTGAATCTCCTGCAGTTCCTGCTCCGTGGGGTAGATCTCAGCATGCTTGGCGATTACGTGGCGATCGTCTGAAGTCTCGGGCCGCCGGCCCACTGGCCCGTAACCCATGCCCATGCCCTGCGTACGTTGCGGCTCAATTAAAGTATTAGATGTCGCAAAAAAAATTGTTAAGATAAATAATACGAGTGGCTAGTAGTAAGAGCTCGTTATGATAAAGAACCAAAGTCTCACGTGATGGTGTGGGTGCAGGGGAGGTGGGTGCGGAGGACGCCAGCCCCACGGCTCCAGCCCGCCTTCCCAATAAGCACGCTCGTCTTCTTCCATGCCCTGCCATACGACCGTGATCTAATTTTAGTACATGCACAAAACCCTCGTTGTATCAAAGAGGCAACCATTGCAAACACCACAGGATTTCATGTGGGTTATTTATAACACACTACACATTTAAAAGTCCCCTTGTAAGCACGATAATTAAATGTATACAACTCACGTCATGCATGCGCCTCCTGGCCCAAAGTTCGTCGCGCGCCATCATGCGCTGTGCCTTGGCCTCGGCGATCTTGCGCTGGTGCATCGAAGGCTTTACCTTCACCTCCAGATCGGGTTGCACCTGCACAATATACGTCAATAATTTACCTACTACAAACCATCAACCAAATATCGACAGGTAAGTTTTCTTAGCCCTCATTAAAATTTGTAATCATATGGCGATCGGATCTCTTGGCAATCGCAAAAACGCAGCCGCCAGGCTCGACGACCTCCTCAAACCTTTTACTAAATAATCATTGGGAATTTTCTTTCGAAAGTAAAGGTAAAAAGAAGGCAATTTAAGAATGTTGAATTATCTAATACTCTGCTCAGTGTCACGACAGTTCGCTTTGGCCATTGTGACACCTTAAGCTGTATCACGCATGCGGTTGCCGTAGCAAGTTATATAGTCCGTTAAAGCCATAACGCTGACGGCATACGACGTTTTGAATCAGCGTACCTTCTTCTTATACTGCAGACGATGCCTCCTGCCCTTCATGTGCATCTCCTTCGCATTGGGATCATTGAACTTGCAGTCGCATAGCTTGCAGTTAAAGGAGAGCGCTTTGCCGTCGTCGCCGCGGATCTCCTCAATGTAGTCCTGCCCCACAGGCTGCACCTCAGGCTCGGTGTCGCCGTCCTCGTCCTTCTCGTCGCCATCCTTCTCCTTGTCTGCAGGTTTCGCATCTTTGTTCGTGTTCGTGTTCACAGTACTGAGCCCCCCCGAGGCAACGAACGCGATCTTGGGCGTCCCGGCCACCGTCTTTTTGGCTGATAAAGTCAAATTTTCTCTAGTGAGTGTGGCTTTAACTGAAACAGGCATTTTCTCACCAAGAAATGAGCCTTTTCTACAGTTACTACACTCAAAGTCATCAATAGCTTAATTTGGATAGATAAATTTTGATTTTCATTTTCAATGGTTTTTCCAATTGCCAATTTTGTGTTCTGAATAATTTTCCTAATACCTAAAACCCACTTGGTGTATTCTTAACTAATTTTTAGACATAAAAAGGCCCATAGATTCACACTCCATATCTGTACCGAGTGCCGAAATTTTTTGATATCATTGAAACAGAGAAAATTTGACTCGTACAGCAACGGCCGACTTTACGCGATGATACAGATATGATATTGTGGCATCGGGGAGGAACAGCACGTGCATTTGCAGTACAAATACGTTCTCCACTCGATTCTAGAACTGAGTTTGGAGAGCATATCTGAATACTAACACGTAGACTTTCGAGCTCCGCAAAAATATTGTTACGTCAAATAAGCCAAACGGAACAGTCCCAAAAATAGACTACAACATTGAAAAACAAATAGTAAGGATTCTGGAAAAAGAAAACATTTTTTAATCTGTACCAAACTAATACCTCATAGTAGATGAACAAAACCGATTTATCTATACATATAAGAATAACAAGAAACACCAAACTACAACAGGGATACACATAAGAAAAATATCAATGTAAATTAACAAATGTTCCATTGCATCTTCAGCAATAAACATAACACAAAACAATTCTTTAATAATCATAGTTCTCTCTACTCACCATTGCCGAGCTTAGTGGGTTCGGTAGAAGGGATAGGCTTCCCCAGCATGGTATGCAGCTTGACGACCTTCTGGTGCTTGATGCCGCGTACGTGAGCCGCATAGGCGTCGGCGCCAGTGCAAGTGACGTCACATAGTTCGCAGCGCAGCGAGGAGCCTCCCGCCGCACGGCCGCTGGCCGCCGAGGCTCCCGCCGCCGCCAGCTTGACGGCTGCCTCCTTCTTTTTATGCTTCTGTCCCTCCAGATGCTCTTTGTAGGTCTGCGGACCGGCGCAGGAGATACGGCATACGTCACAGTAGTGCAGCTGCTGCGCCTTCGGCGGGGGCTTAGGCCGCCGCGCTGCGCCAGCACCCACGCCACCTTTGTTGTAGTTCTTCCACCCGCTGCCACCAGAACACGTCAAACGAACCGTACATACCAACTTCTTACACCTTTATAATTATAATACAGCAATAGACACTTACCCGCCGCCACCAGTTTTATTTTGTTGAGCTACGTACATGGTCGCCGCGTTGTACAGCGCAGTGTCATATGCAGTATTGCCTCGGTTTGCAGTTTCTGCAAAAAAAATGTACATCATTTTCCCACCTTAAAAGTATTGCAGTTTTCGACTACGACAACATGCACACATAGGAGTTTTAACGTACGTCGTTAAGTATCGCAGTTACGGACCGAATCCACCCCCGCCGTTGCTAGGTGGTAGTTAATAACGAGTATATAACCAGAAAAGCGACGAATAGTCAATTTGTTTGAAAATTATTCTGCCAAATCATTACAGTGACAACTGCGCTCCGATTGGCTACCCCGAATTCGAAACAATTGACGGGTGTCGACAATTGTTTCACTTCAAAAAGACCAGTTTAACTTGAGCTTTCCTATAATGGACGAAAATTGCAAAATTATACATTTAATATTTAATTACTGATGAAATGTGATTCCGTTAATTTTGTCGTTAGATATTTTGCTGTTTTTCCCACACCACCGAATGGGACAGCCCCCAATGTCTCTTTATTACAATAAATACAGAATATTTTTGGAATATACAGAGACGTACACACAGGTCAGTTGTTGGCGCTGTTACTATTTCAGTTTTCTAATTTGTGATATCAGCTCAAACGAGAGTTGATATGAGGCCCATTTACCTGATGAGTTGCCAGGGATGGATGGTCCTTATTTCGTCTCTATTTCTGGTTATACAGGCTGTATATTTGAAATTGAGACATATTCATACATGTCATAGTAAATCATGTTACAACTTAACATAGACTAAAATAAAATTAGGATATGGGATAGAACAAAAAATAAATCAACAAATGTGTTTTGAAGTGTACATAGGAATAAACCGATTCCCTTTACGCTTGATTTCGAGTGTAATGAGAATGCTACCAAGCCAGCGCCGAGTGAGACAGCAACAATAACAATGATTTCACATTTAGCTTATGTTAATTATTTTTTACTTGAACTTTCATTGAAATGTTTTACGTACTGAAAAAGATAAGTTTATGATTTAGTAACTAGTTATCATTTAATAAGAATTGAGGTTTATGTCGTAGTTAAAAATGTAAAATCAAATTATTTACAACTATTGATTTTTTAGTTATTTACAGTTTATTTACACTTGGTACGGAGCAAGTGTTCAAAATGTCCACCGTTTTCCACAATGCATAGTCTAGCACGGCATACTAAATTTTGTTTTAAATTGTACAACACAAACACATTTTGTCTTACAGTATAAAATGCTGAGACAATCCCCTCACGCAACACTTCGACACTGTTCACCTCCTCTGCGTAAACTCCGATTTGGGAACATTTCAATAGCTTGCCTCACACTATCACCACTTATTGCATAAAGTCGCACCATCTCAATCAATTCGATGTTAGAATAAATATCCATTTTGCGGCGATCGGGCAAGCGGAAGTACATATAATTTACGTGTATTCGTTAGATCAAGGTCGCGCGTGCACTGAGCAATTTCGCGTATGCGCCCGCGTCCCCACCCCCGACCTGCGCTTTGTATTTTGCAGCTGCGTCGGAGCAATAATAGTGATGTGCATAGATTTCGATAACTAATGTTGTTCTCAAGTAGTAGTCGATAAAAAAAATTTAAAAAAATTTTTTTGTCAACTTTAAGTTCATTATTTCTTTGGGTTCAGAATCAGGAATATAACACACTCTATAAGTATGTCTCACTTTCAAATATAAAGCCTGTATACTCGAAAATAATTAGAAGTTGTTTTGACCTTTTGGCATGACTACCCATCAGATTATCCAGTTGTGTATTGCTTCAACCAATACCAGTAAGCTAGAAACATTGAGAGGTACATAGATGGTTTACTCACGCTTGGGCTGCTGTTGCGCGGGCTGCGAATATGCCTGCGTGGGGTAGGAAGTAGCGGCGGTCGTAGCGGTGTACACGCCGCCGTATGCCGCCTTTGCAGCACCCCCGCCTGCGCGCGCCCCCGTCTGTACAAACAATCATTCAGTTTCACCCCTATCACGAGATTCTGTAACAATCTATTAACAGGCTTAATAACAGGGTTTGAAATTATCAAGATTTTATCACTTCAAATGAGAAACAGTGAGAAAACTATTTAAAAAAAAATCATTGGGAAAACGATATGGATTGCGACTTTTTAGAGATTGTCATTTGATACGTTTGGATACGTCTTATTACAAATATACATCTATTACATACACGACTTTGCTAGTGGTACAGCATTCCGTTGTAATAAATTGTATAAATATAAAGATAATTATAATAATTATCACTTGGAACCATGTTTAATATTATGTTTCCATGGTTATGTCAATTAATCTCTGAATAGACATAAAGAATTTATCACACATGAAACTACACTTTACAAATGTTCTTTCCAGCTTTTTCATATATTCAGCCAACAGTGACTTTTCTCAAGTATATATTTTTATGTTCATCATAAAAACACTGCAAACATTTTACAGTAATCCTTTATAAAAGCAAAATTAGTAACATCATACGAAATGAAACTATTTTTTCGGATTTAAATAGCATCTATTTGTTTTTTTTAAAAAAACCAATTTTTCGGACCCTTTAGAGGTCCCATGGTCACAGTTGACTGAAATGGTAAAGTCATCAACCAGTTAGGTCTAATATTAATGCAAACCACCCTATTTTTCCGCTGTAGTTTCAAAAGTTATTAAATAAAGACCTTATATATCTAATAATGTAATATCTTAACTTTAATTTTACAAAGGATGTTCCAATTTACACTGTATAATACGTTTTTCAAATTATTTTATTATAACAATGAGAACTTTTATTAGGTTACATTTATTATTAATTAATAATGGAAATTAGAATAAATTAATGCATATTAATTAGTATTGCAGTCTTATGTCTTTTTGGGATTTTTCATCAGAGGAAATACTGGAAGAAAAACTGGTAGCATTGAAAAACCATCTTTCCTGTTGAATTTAGGATGTTTTTTAATTTCAATGGCCTCGCGCGGCATCCTGAGTAGATAACAGACCTGGAGTATGTCGAACTTGATTGAATATATAGGAAAAATAGTCTCATTTCCTATGTGTAACAATCATGAAAACCTGAAACTCGATTAATAACATCATATTCAAATAATCTCAGTATAGAGTACTAAAAAACCGATACCAAAAGTATGTGGAATTACATATAATTACCAGTTTTATTGAAATCGGTTACCTGAAAGTGCGCAAACGCGGATTCATCCCCTAGTTCGCCACTATACGGGACTTGACACAGGAAATAATGAAAATCGGTTCTCACTACTCAAAGTATATTAAGAGAGAAAAACGCCTTGAATTGGAGAATAGCAAAATCAACCATTAAAATAATTGCTCCTTATAATAAAAATTAGGCGCTATTTATGAAAATGAATCGTCATACGTGAACAGCCACCCTTAGAGATGGATGATTTTCTTCAAAATTAAATGGGATCACTGTGGAGGTGGGTACCTCTTTCCAACAAAAAAAGAATCATGAAAATCGGTTCACAAATACCGGACTTATCGCGTAACATACATACAAAAAAAACATACAGTTGAATTGAGAACCTCCTTTTTTGAAGTCGGTTAAAAACGAGTCTATTTGCTATACCTATTGTCGGCTCATCAAAAAACATCAAAACAGGATGATATTCCCAGAATAATGTTAATAGGAGTGGATTTTCAAAGCTTAAGTCAACATAGTGAATTTACTGGCGGGCGTCCAAAGAATATGGCACGTCACTTTCATCTAATGATTGATAGTATTTTCATGGTTTATTTTGTATTAGTATGCCAACATTTGACAAAATGTTTTGCAATAAAAACAAGTTGCAGTGCAAAAAGTTTTCAGGTCCAGTTAATTCGAAAAATCATATAGTTAATTTCATAACATAAATATGTTTGTTGTATTGTTTATATTGTATATTTCCTTTTGACAATAAAACCAGAAGGACTAACTTGAGCGTAAGTTGCAGGCGTGGAGTAAGCGGGCTTGGCGGCAGTGGCGTCGTACTGCGGCGTGGGCGGTGCAGCGGCGGGATAGGCGGCGGCGGCCTGCTGGTAGTATGCCGACTTGCTGGCGTCATACGCCGACGCAGCCGCCGCCGCCGCGTGCGCGTGCGCGTGAGCAGCTGTGTAACATGTGGCAATTATTAGATTTGATGCTATCATACATAAAGATAAAGAAAAAGAAACGTTTTCAGTAGTGCACATTACTAATAATCTATCTCATATTTGAGAGTTACAAAAAAACACAATAAGAGTTACGGCGAATTTACACCGGGTCGTCTGCCGGGCAGACTACTTCGCCTTGCCAAAGGCGACAAAGTTCATAAACTAAAGTACCCCACTTAATTATCTCCAGAAATAAAAAAAACAGTAATATTTATTAATTTATTTTGATTCGGTCTTTGTTTTCTGCCACATCCTTGCAAATGGCATTGCATACAAGAAGTAAATAACCATTTATAAATTTGGGAACATATCACACGCGTTTCTTTTTTGTCTTATTTCTAATAAGGCTTGTAACGCTTTTGTGTCAATGTCGGCCTTGTACATAAGGCGCACTAAAAGTTTCCGAAACTGGCCACTTACATAAACAATATTTAAAAAGTAATTACAATATTTGAAAATGGAACTCTAGCTGTAGAATACAGTTTGTTTCATCTGACTGTCGCTTGTTTTTATATTGTGGCATCATTTTAGAAATTGGTTGTCTACATCATCATGGATTTAACTCGTGAAAATTTTCGTAGCATGCTTTTCAACGACTTTTAAGTGTAATTTAACAGCTCAGCGGAGCTTCGCTTAGCTTCAAACTGCTTTTGGCGATGAAGCACCATGCATGACGACTATTTATAGCTGGTTTGCAGGATTCAAACGCGGTCGTGTGAATCTCAGTGACGAATTTCGTAATGGTCGCTCGTCCACTGCTGTGAACAACTAAAACATCGATGCTGTGCGCTGTATGATCAAAACAGACAGGCATGTGACATACCATGAGATTCGGGCGTCTTTAGGCATAAGCTTGAGTCAAATACAATGAATACCACACAAACATTTGGGTGTGAAAAAGCTGTGGATCTCTCTACTATAAAGTCTCGGTGGATACCACACAATTTGACTGAGGCTCAAAAAACGGATCGCGTCACTTGGTGCAATGCCATGGTTACCAGATTCAACGAAGAAACGTCAGATGTGGTGTTGGACATAGTAACAGGTGACGAAACATGGATTTATAGTTACGATCCCAAAACAAAGCAACAATCGAGCATATGGGTCTTTTGAGATGAGCCGAAACCAACCAAAGTGGCGCGCGTGCAAAGTGTACACGCTTATTTTCACATTTGTAGTAATATTTGTATGTACGTATCTGCCCAACTCTTTATTATTTCTTTAAGTGAATTTATACAAAATTCGACATAATAATATATATAAAAATTAATTAATATTTACGATAAAGGTAACACAAGAGTAATGAAGTAGTCCATTACTCTTGTGTTCAAGTAATTTTCAGTCGAAGGTAAGTATGATTCGTATGAAAAAGTGCATTAACGCTAACGGAGAATATTTTGAGAAACAATAAATTCATTTCTGACCATTTATAGTATTTTTTTCTTATTCATTTCGGAAACTTATAGTGCGCCCCACGTACAAGGCCAAATATCACACACTTGTAAACAAGTGATGTGCAATATTGCCAAAAATATTGATATATGTACTCGTAAATTTTCGTCGTAATTGATGTTATTTATCAACAACCATGAAACGAAATGTATCAGCTACGGGTAGATTAACAAAGGGTAAAATGAAATATTCCGCATTATTCCAATCCCCATACATTTTTCTTTTTTTTTTATAATATTAAGTGACGGAACAAATGCGCTTGATGGTAAGTTACACGCGTATCCATAACAGTTGCAGTGTCACTCAGAGCTTTAAATCTCAAAGATCTGAGTGGCACCGCCACTGTGCCAGTCACCCTGAGGCATCAGTTGAAAAGTCCCATGTGCCTGTAATTTCACCATTTTTTACTTTTACTTGATTAAAATATACATAGATTATAAATATATACATAGATTAGAAATATATTAGATATAGATTGAACAAAGGATATTCCCAAGAGAGTTAAAAACGACAGTAATAAAACCTCTCTACAAAAAAGGAGATAAGGGCGAATTAGGGAACTATAGGCCAGTTGCTTTAATTCCAGTAATGTCCAAGATTTTCGAAAGAGTAATACTTAATAACCTACTCATACCTAGAAAAAAATAATATATTGATAGACCAACAGAAAGGCTTCCGTAAGAATAATTCCATCTATTTGGCTATATACGAATTTCTTGATAAAATATATTCTAAGATGGACAGAGGTCAGCCCGTTTCATCATTATACATGGATTTAACCAAGGCATTTGATTATGTAAATCATAACACGCTTTTGCATAAATTGTGGGTATAAGGTGTAAGAGGCAATGCTCAAGAACTAATAAAATCCTACCTTAAAAATAGACTTCAGTCGACACACATTAATGAAGTATGTCCCGTATCGAAAATTGAGAAGTTATATGCATCATTACAGAGAATAGTAAGTCAAGGAGTACCTCAAGGTAGCGTATTGGGACCATTGCTATTCTTAATATACATAAATGACATTCCTAAATCAATTAACGACCTTATAATATTGTTTGCGGATGATTGTACGGTAATTTATGACAATGAAACAAATATAAATACAAGTTTGAACTCTATTATTGAATGGCTAAAATATAATGATCTAGTTATAAATCTTGACAAAACTAGTTATGAAATTTAAACAAAGATACAATAAACCTATGCAAACTAGAGTGGTCTATGAAAGCAAGGAGGTCAGTGAAACAATGACAGTAAAGTTCTTAGGTTTACATATGGATAATAATCTAAAATGGCAAACACACCTAGAATATGTATGTGGTAAAATACTAAAGTTTTCTTATGCATTGTTTAGGCTATCGAAAATAGTAAATTTAAACGCTTTAGTGACTGTCTACCATGGTTATGTAGCAACCAACCTTAGGTATGGAATCATTTTTTGGGGAAATGCACCGCATATTGAACGCATATTCAAAGCTCAAAAGAGATGTATTCGGGCTATATGCGGCTTGAAAAAAACAGATAGCTGTCAACCACATTTTACAAATTTGAAAATACTGACTCTACCATGCTTATATATATTTGAAATGTCACTTTTCGTAAACCGTCATCTTCATTTATTTGAATTCGTCACACGAGCCCGCCGTTCTCATCAACTGAACAGTAGATCATGTAAAACTGCTCTACTTCAAAAGAGATAAACAAACTTATTATTGCATGAGAATTACTAAAACTAAGAAAACTTTGTATGCCATAAGGCGGATCACAGTGATTCAAAATTCATTCTTGTAACAACTTTATAACCTGTGTATCATAAAGAAATAAATGATTTGATTTGATATTCCAAAGGCTAGCATGCATGGCGACGATCGGCTGCATGAGGACAACTCCAACTGCGGCGCTCGAAGCGATGCTGGACCTGCGACCCCTCCCACTGTTTATCAGACAGGAAGCGGCGTCAACAGCAGTGCGACTAAAGAGAACCGGCCTTTGGAAGCACATGAGGACCCCACATACAGATATCCTTTACAAATTAGTCAAAGAGGAACCGCTACTGGAGGCGACTGTGGATAGGATCCCGAAACAATACATTTTTGACAAAAAATACAGGATACAATTGTTTGAAGATCCCAACGAAGGACTAAACCTCAGTGAGGTCCGCGTATTCACTGACGGATCAAAAACAAACTCAGGAACAGGTACTGGGGCATTCTCAGAAGACCTCAATATCAGAATATCAACACCGCTGCTTGGTGACCACAACACAGTATTCCAGGCTGAATGTATGGGTATCAAGTTGGCAGCAGAAGCAATAATAGCGAGAAGAGTAAAGAATCACTCCATTCGAATACTCTCCAACAGCATGTCAGTACTACAAGCACTGAGCAGCTATGACATTAACTCAGGGCTTATATATGAATGCCATCAAGCACTCATGGAGGTATGTACACACAACCACGTAACTCTACAGTGGTTTAAAGGACACAGCGGCTCACGTGGCAACGACGCAGCAGACGAACTAGCTAGAAAAGGGTCGGAGACGGATGCTGTAGGGCCGGAATCCATAGTGTCCCTACCCTACCAATGGTCAAGAACAACTATACTCAAAGGTACAAAATCTTCTCATAATAACATATGGACAATCCTTACGGTTTGTAGACAGGCTAGGGAAGCACTCCCAACGCTCAACGCCAGTCTACCTCGTAAATTAATCAAACTTGAAAAACAAGAGCTGCGCACTCTATCTGCCGCTCTAATGGGTCATGGTACATATAATAAACATCTTTTCAATTTAGGTATCACGGACAGCCCTCTATGCAGAGCGTGCATGGAGGGGGAGGAAACGGCCGCACACATCCTACTAGAGTGCTCCGGTGTGGCCAACTACAGGGCAAAGTACCTTGGAGTGCCGAGGTCGCTCCCCGAAATCTTCACAAAACTGAAGAGTCTGCAGAGATTCCTGGAGGAGCTTGGGTGGCACGAGTAGGACCCTGCACCCACCACACGCAAAATAGGCGCCTCGACGTTGAGTTGCGGAAACTAGCCCGTTGCACCAATACCAAATGATTTGATATATAATAGTTTCAGACAGAGAGGACCAGTTTTGTTACTACCTTTCTTCAATTTTTCAGTAAGTTACATTGTGTTGCCATAACCATGTAACCAGAATAAAAAATGACTGTTGGTTTAGTGAAAATCTTTAATATTGTTTGATTGACTTAAAAGTCTCTATATTCCCAGGACAGAAAAGATCACCTCAATCTCAAAAAGGCCAACAAATTGTTGATTTTTTTCATTATTTTCGAAACTGTTAGTGGGCAATACAGTAGAAATCACAACATTAATATTGCAATAAAGATTTCAATTCAGGTATGGTAAAAAAAATGCACATTTGGCGTTATATGTATAGTCTGAAATTACTTCAGTTTTTGATAGCATACAAAAATATTGGCATGAAAAGCCCACACAATAGAATTTTAAAATAGGCTGCATAACATAATATCAACAGTAAATTAAATAAGTACAGGCTATAGAAGGACAATTCCAGCGAAAACGGCACTGCCGTTCAAAAAAAACAAATTACACAATTTGATTTTTATTGTATGACTAGAATACGCCCAATAAATCAAATCGTTCGAAATAAATGATATTTTTTCAGATATTATACAATTATAGTACTTTTTCTTTTCATTAACGCACCCACAGTGCTGTTGTCTATGGTGAAGCATTTTTTCCTACAATGTTAGCGACAATTTTTTTAATTATTTCTGCGTGTTTCTAGAAAAGTTATTACTATTGAAGAAAATACAATTTATGAATTTTAAAACAGTCATATTATGGGCATTGTAGACATAAACACTTCCTGCCATTTTGCATTATGAACTTGTGGAATTGCTCCCAGAAACAGTAATTAGTGCTCCAACAGTGAAAAGTTTCAAAGCTAGACTTGATAAACATTTTTTAAACTAACAATATAATAATAATAATAAATCGTTTATTTTATACAAGCACAGTGATATACACGCATCAGCTCAGAGCTGCTAGTGTATTACTGTAATAATAATAATACCTCAAGAAAACAGTTAATAAAATCCAGACAGATAGATCAAAATACTACGTAACCAAACATGTATACAAAATCTCCAACAAAACTGATTGAAACCACCCAACATGAGAGTGTAAGCGTGTGGGTGTAAATGTACAGAAAACAGCCAGTGCAAATAACCGTGCCCTGATAGGTTCTGTCAAAACACAGTCCATGAGCAAATGATCGACATCCTTAAATGTATTTACATGGTGTATTTACATGTAGAAAACAGTTACATAACAAACAATACTTTTTAAGCAGCATATAAACACATGAATGTTAACATGTCATAAGTACTCAATTCATATACAATTTCCTGGTAAAATTGGCCATGACAAATTGTAACTGGTACACAAAAACCCCAAGTGAAGTTTTTATTGGCAATTGATTTAGTATGAGAATCCCGTTATAATTACCACTCTATTCACAACTTCACTGACAGGAAACAAATGACTTCTTAAATTACAATTATAAGTAAACATTACTCATTACACAACGACATAGGTATTTCAAATTATTTCTGCAGATATGTAAGCTCGTAATTCGATTTACGTTCAGCTGACAATCAGTGCCGCAACGCAGGTATTGATTAAACGACATACCTACCCAATGCGACACAAGAGTAGTGCTGCAAAGTTCAGCCGATGAACACCTCCACGAGTAATTAAGAGCAACAAATGAGCCTATATTTTATCGGAGTAGGAGAAGAATACTAACCTTGTGTAGCCGCTGCGGCTTGATAAGCTGTATCGTATCCCGTGGCGGCGGCGCGCTGGGTGCCGTACGTCGCCGCAGTGGCCGCCGGGGCCACGGCGTACCCCGTTTGGCCACCGTAAGCGGCCCCGGCAGTAGCCGCGCTAAAAACACCGCAAATATCTGTTACTCCGCAAAGCGGCAACCTTACTGCAAATTACCACGATCAATACACATCAAGACGCCATTTTGATTAGAAACACGAGCACAAGGCTGCGGAAAATTTATTGTGGATTTCTAGTGCAAATGATTACTTGCAGATCAATATTTATAACAGTATAATAAAAAATAGCTTACCCGTACTGGGTTCCTCCGTGAGTAAACCCAAAATAATTATTCGCTGCCATCATTTACTAATTTTCCGCGTTGAAACAACAGACGCTTCGGGCGGAAAAGGCCGGCGTTTAGTCTATGTCAAATATGGCGTCGTAAAAAGAAATAGAGTTTACACGAAAATATCAAGTAACATTTAAAAGTAGAAGTAATATCAAGTGGCTGTTATTACCAGTAACAGCTTCTCATTGACACATTTTTTTACGTAGGCACTGTATTATTTTAAATTAATTGATGATACACATCGAATATATACAGTACCGAAAGTTGCGTAGGGCGATAGATATTTAACATAATCGAATTATTCGATTGTTAAAATAATCAAAGTAATTTGATTGTTGATATTAAATAATTACTAATAATTAGTTATCACACTGTACTTTTCGATTGATAATCAAATGTAGATTGTGAATTGAAATCGTTTTTAATTTACTAGTTACTAATTTTCTATTGTCGATCAATGTTGATTGTGGATGGATTTCTAATTATTGATCGTTTGCCGATCATGGTTTAAATTTCGACATTAGACGAATGAATTGCGAACGAATGCACCGCCATATTCGATCGTTGTCGATTACTAAATCACGGGCATTGGCGCTTTCTTCTCACTTAACGCAGACATTTAGGTTGTTTTGTTGATTTGTTCTATATTTTAAACATCAACAATATATCATGAGGTGTGTAGGATGGATAAATAAAACAAATTAACACACGTAATAATTGCTATTTTAATCAGAATAATAATATTTAGGATGCAAATTTTTATTTGGGGTCTGGTTTAATTTTTCACATATTTCTATAATAAATATCTAAGTTTACTAGAACAAAATGAAATAGTAAATCAATATCGATTAATTATTATCAATTTACTTCTGTCACCTCTTCGCCCGCGCGCTACTATTACTAAATTAATATAGTATCAATGATTACTATATCAGCAATCGGATCGATTGTTTTTACATTAGTAGTCGGATCGATTGTAACTAAATTAATAATCAGATCGATTACTTTGATTTTTAGTTACGTTTTTATATGAATTACATTTTCGTACCATGGTATAGAGGGCCTTTTTTAGACACCAAAAGTAGTAATTACTAAATTAGCAACTATACTCGATTATATTTCGATAAAGACGACAAAATCTAGAGTCGAATACAAGACAATAGAACTATAGTATTTTCCTGACCATCTCCGTTTGCTAATTGAAAGTTAACTAATAAAAGAATATAATAAATATAAATTGAATATAAATATTCAATAACATACCACAAACACACCTCTCACTTACTTACTTAGGTGGTAGAGACTGTAAACCTCCACTTGCATGCCCGTACCCATATTTGCGTAGTACTTGTTACCTAACCCTTTGCTATCAGACTTAAGAAAAAATGTATATTATGACGATCTCGATGGCCTGACAGTTTACATTGTGGGCGCTGGATGCGGAGGCCCCGGATTATATTCCCGGTAGGACCAATTTTGGAAAATTATTTTTTCTAAATTGGTTCTGGTCTGGGTGTTCTGAGTAGAGCACTAGAATTTCGTTGCTCTGGTATAGGGAATATTGAAATCAGGCAATTGGTGCACTAGTATGGCATATAAAAATAAATAATACGTATACAATTAAATAATTTTGTTAGTTAAATGTTTGTTATACCGAAAGTTTATTGTACATTGTACACAATATGAAATTATGCCATTTGTTGCTATACCACTTGCTTCTTAATTTCAAAGAAAATAATCAATCATTCCTTACATCCCACATATGTGATTATATCCTTTAAAATGGTTTTTTTTTTAAACGCACACACTCATAACGCCGCACTAGGGAAACCCTGTGTTGCGGGTGCCATGGACACACAAATAGAATACTACAAATTACACCCAAACTCATGAGAAATAAATGTAGGCTATACAAATATTTCTCCCAGCCCGGGAATCGAACCCGGGACTAAATTGGTAACTGTTCGGTCACGTAGGGAGGAATTACATCAAATATCGTTATTGTATAATGAAAGTAGATAATTTGTTGTTGTATCGATCATTACACACCCTCCTAAAGAGCTTTAATGTGATATTAAAGTTTTACATTAACGTAACTCCCTCTGACAAATACCGAAGAATATTTTATATCTAGTAGTTTTGGATGTTATTACAATAATGACAAGAACCATTGCCGATTTCTTAAACTAATGAAATATAATAGTTACAAGACACATTTACATAACAATTTGCACACGTGGCAATACCGCATCTCTACTTTGTGAAACCATAGACAGTCGTTCTATTTAGATGCGTTCAATTTATTGCGTGCGTGTAACCAACATTTATTAGCGTTCGCATAAATAGTTTTAAATCAAGTTCGAAGTGGAATAAAATAAATCGATTTTACTTGATCATTGACTTTATTTGTTTAATGAAACAATCATAATACTAAGGGCCATATTCTAGAATATAATATGGTTTAAAACACTCGAAATCATACTCAAGTCCCTGCCATTAGGGACGTATTTCCAGTGCAATCTTGAGTATGATTTCAAGCACTGGAAATACGACCCTATTGGCAAGGACTTGAGTATGATTTCTAGTGCTTTAAATCATACTCAAATCCTGACTTCAGTATGATTCCAAGCTCAGGAATACGACCCTAAACGTCGTATTCCAGAACTCTAGTCACTGCTCCAGTCAGGATTTGAGCAGACTTGAGTATGCTTTCAAACACTGGAAATACGACCCTAATGGCAAGGACTTGAGTATGATTTCTAGTGCTTTGAATTATACTGAAGTCAGGATTTGAGCAGACTTGAGTATAATTTCAAGCACTGGAAATATGACCCTAATGGCAGGGCTTGAGTATGATTTCTAGTGTATACCGATGGAATCGCGCGTTTGCATCGCTGCTAATAGTCGCCATGTGTAACCACTTTAACGTGCATTTTGAAAATATTACACGAGAGTGATCTAAAGTTTTTTTTAAGAATAAAAATCATAACTCTGATAGATGGAAAACATTCTTTGGGCATTAAGTTGAGGTGAATCCAGCCACTTATTTCCTTCAATCCAGCCAAAAATTATATTACCTATGCAAAAGACTTCAATTCTAATACATAGTTACTTGTTTAAAGTCTGAGGTCCTTTTTCCGCTAAAATAGATAGGTATTGAGATGCTAAAATAAACCGAATCAGATATTTTTTTTAATATACAAAAATATATTAAATTGTAACAATACAGACCTTTAGAGCATTTGTATACACTGTCAATATTCTCTGGTGGTAACTTTAAAATGCGAAAACAAGCACATCTAATACTTTACAAGAAATAATTGAGGGGCTTGGAAACAAAAACTGACAAATCTGATAAATTTCGATTCTAACTTTGTCGAGTGTCATTGAAAGTATTTGTCGTATTTTGATTTGTGCATCTAGGAGGATTTAGCGGTTGCTCTTCAGGTTGATGTATCATTCATAGAAACTTTAAAAACTAGCGCTTGGGATGAAAAGGGAAGATCACATCAAAATGTGACTTAATCAGTTTTTGGTCCCATGCTCCTCAATTTCCAATGTGTATTTTGGTTTGTTACTATTTAAGAAAGTAATCAAATCAAATGCTTTATTATCCTAGCAGTAACTTAAATATTATTGTAAGTATGTTAAGGAGGATGAGAGGAACTGAAACAAAAAGAAAAGAGTTAGACATCATTTCTATACAAACATTATGAAGTAAATATACAATATCATCAATTAAATTCTTATACCTCGTAACCTCCATTCATGTGGACATCAAAATCTATGATTATACATTTATTTCATAACTAAAAAAAGTCTTGAATAATGTCTACTTTAGGCTTTAATTTCCTGATTATGCACTAGAAAAGTAAAAAGGGATTTCGTCCAAAAATGGACTTATGAAGCTTTCAAAGTGAAATGAATAAATACAGGGTGTCCCAAAACTCAACGATAACCTGGTTGAGCACAGGATGTTGCCTGGTTGTAACAACCCAGAAAAATATATTGAAAAATCGGAGTCATTTCTTTTGTGATATAGGCAATTTAATTAAAAATGTTGAGAATGCACACCCTGGATACCATTTGTAAGAACTACTTTTACAAATTTTCTAATTTTGCTGTTCTAGTTTTTGTAACAGTAACCCTAATAACCCAGCTAATGAACACAATGCCAAAGAAAGCCCGAGTTGCTAAAGTTTCAGCACAAAAAATTTGTATTTAGGTTTTCCTTGAAATTTTTAGCAGATTTTTTTTCAAGGTAGCTTTGACACCCCATACTGTAAAAAAAATTTACCTAGACTACTATGGCATTTTCTTACAAAAGTTGGCGCAACTAATCAAGATTCAAAAATGGTTTAAAACCTTCTATGTAATGCTTTTTGGAAAAAAATGATCTTGGTTTTTCTAAGAAGAGGTCAATGTAAAAAGCTTACCTTTTCTAAGTGAAAATGGCTTTCAGTGCCTATAAAGCTAATTTAGGTTTCATATCCATGTAGTCGGAGTTAGACTGCCTGATAAAAATGGCAAGTATGATTGAGTGAGGCAAACAGTCTCGAAATTCCATTTTTCTCGACAGATATAGGAATTTAAATAAAAGTAATGAATAAATTATTATAATTTTATTACAGACTACAGCAAGTGCTCAAACTGTTTTCCACCACCATCAATATATGCACGGCACTGCCTTAAAAATGACCTTTTCACCAATCGTGCACACCGTCGTAAATTTATCTGTTGTACAGCTTCGGTGATTGAAAACAGTTTGAGCACTTGCTGTAATCTGTAATGTGTGTAATAAAATTATAATAATTTATTCATTACTTTAATTTAATATTCTATATACGTCGAGAAATGTTGAATTTTGAGACTGTTTGCCTCACTTAATCATACTTACCATTTTTACCAGTCTAACTCCGACTATATGGATATGAAACGTAAATTAACTATAGAGGCACTGAAAGCCATTTTCACTCAGAAAAGGTAACCTTTTTAAATTGGCCTCTTTTTAGAAAAACCAAGATTATTTTTTCCAAGAACGATGATGTAGAAGGTTTTATACCACTTTAGGATCTTAATTAGTTATGTCAACTTTTGCAAGAAGTTGCCATAGTATTCTGGGTACATTTTTTTACAGTATGAGGTGTCAAAGTTACCTTGAAAAAGAATCTGCTAAATAATATTTCAAGAAAAAAATTAAATACATTATTTTTTTGTGCTGAAACTTTAGCAACTCGGGCTTTCTTTGGCATTGTGTTCATTAGCTGGGCTATTTGGGTTAACGTTAAAAAAAAAACTAGAACAGCAAAATTAGCAAATTTGTAATTGTAGTACTTAAAAATGGTGTACAGGTCGTACGTTTTCAACATTTTTCATTAAAATGCTTATATCACAAAAAAAAGATTTTTTAAATATTTTTTTCTACATTGTTACAAAATAGGCAGCATCCTGTTCCCAGGTTATCATTGAGTTTTGGGACACCCTGTATATATACATGATACACCATAGAGAAACTATACAATTATTAAGTGTTATTTGATAGTTCTTTGGTGTCTAGAGTGCACTTTTTGAAAATTTTAGATATTAAACATACCTATCTAGATAGAAAATATTACCATATAATCATATTATAATATTACAACTTAGATTATTGTTATGTACTTACTTCTGGTGACTGTCCTAATAGATCTCACTAAGTTTAAAACTTGAAACTTGACAGAGGACTGGTCTTCAAACCCTTGGTTCGGACTGTTAGCGCCCCAACCCACTACAAAAGATCATAAATGGTTAAAACACATTTTAAACTTATGACATACCTGAGTAATATTCCTCATGTTTGCTAAGAGTTACTTGCTAACATGAAAAGTACGAAAAGTATTCAATATGTTAAGATTCTAGAATTTTAGGTGGTAATCAAAAGGCGTAAACTCACTTTTCTGCATAAATCTTTCTTCGTGGAGTACACATACTGCGTTTAAACATAGCAAAGTGGCCTCAAATAAGTTCCATAAAGTGAGCATGTTAAACAAATACAGATAATGCTAATTAAAGTTGAATTTAATTTAATTCTGTGATCCGCAGGGTCCGATGGCTAATTTTTGTTATGACTTTTCACTTTGACATAACGTTGTCATATGGTTGTCATGTCGTGTCGTCAGGGGTGCGTTTAAGACCTAGGCTAAAAATTCGCCAGCTAAAAATTAATCTGCCGAGGCATCCGTGAACGGAGTCTTAGGTTTATGTCAATGTAAGCTGCCAAATTCAAATGACAGCTGTCATAAGTACCTAATTCAAACTTTATTAAACTAGCAGAAACAACAAACAGCTGTCAATAGTGTCAATCTGACAGCAGGTTAAAATTTCACGACCTAAAAAGCACGCGAAAATTTATCCCAACTAGGCTAAATTTCATCCTAGCCGACGTCGGTGAACGGGGTAGATAAAATTTTCACAGATTAAATTTTCGCCTGACAGAGTGCTTAAACGGGGTGTATAACGTTATGTCAGGGGTGCGTTTAAGGACGCTAGCCGGGATAAATTTTAACCTGACATATGTTGGGATAAATTTTCGCGTGCTTTTTAGGTCGTGAAATTTTAACCTGCTGTCAGATTGACACTATTGACAGCTGTTTGTTGTTTCTGCTAGTTTAATAAAGTTTGAATTAGGTACTTATGACAGCTGTCATTTGAATTTGGCAGCTTACATTGACATAAACCTAAGACTCCGTTCACGGATGCCTTTGCAGATTAATTTTTAGCTGGCGAATTTTTAGCCTGCGGTCTTAAACGCACCCCAGTTCAGCAGAGTGTTGCCAGATATGCACACACAACTACTTTCGTGAGTACGAAATGAAAAAAAAATTTGTAAAATATAATTGTTTACAAATATCTTTTGAAGTATTATTTAGCGTGAATTATAAAACAAACTTGTATAACTAAAAGCCCTTTATAGAAAAACGAGATTTAATATAATTTCACAACAATGAAAATAATTCCAACAACCATACCACCACCACTTGTTGTTGGCTCAATTGTTTTCGTTCAGTAACTTCTACTTTTGACAGATGTGAACGTCAAATGTGGAAATTAGAGAAAAAATATGGTAAAAAAATCCGGAAATACAAATATTTTTCTGGATTTTTTTTGCTTAGTTGGTATAGCGTCTGACACGGTAAGCTAGAAGACGTCGGTTCGAATCCGACCGGGGCGAAGGAATTTTTTCTGAGTGTTTGATCTTTGTATTAATAATTATAACAAACTAGTGGAGTAATTTCATAAAAAACAATTGAATATATTCAATAAAAATTTAAAATATTTATTTTTCTGAAAAAAAAAATAAACTGGACTGGCAGAATTAAGTAGTCTCACAAGTCAATTCAAGCCATGATTAAAAAAAAAGATAGAACTGAAATTTATTCACGGCGCCGGGCAATTAATTATTTTGTGGAACTAGAATGTGTTAAGCACTAATTCCTACTAGCTTTCTAATTTGTGGCTGGCTAAGCCTGTTGTTTACCTAGTTCAGTCTAGTGTTTTAAACATTTTTAGTAGCTAAAGACCTAAAATAATCTCCAAAAACCAAACAGTTTAATCTCCAACGGGTTTCTCAAAGTCCCAACTTTTGTATAGTTTTTTTTAAATCTTATAAGTTAGGTAACTATTCATAAATATTAAAACATGGAATCAAATTTAGCAATCGATGTAGATAACTCACCACTCGATACTGACTTAAACAGCACTTCCAAGACTGACTTACAGACTAAAGGTAACATAGAACTTGCTGTTAATAAGGGATTTTCTACCAATGAAACAGTTTTTATTCACAACTTTGAAGTTTCCATAGAACGAGAGTATGAAACCAGCTATGATTCTGTCCTTGTTGGCGATTTAAAATCTGAAGAAGTAAAAGTTGTTACAGAAGTAGAGGCATCGGTAGTGATGGATACTGATGACAGTAACATCTTACTGTTAGATAAAGTTGTTGGCAGTGGTAATGTAACAGATATCACACTGGGACAAACAGAATTACAGTCCACAGTGTCTCGTGCAGTGGAAACAAATGAACATCAAGTATGTAAAGATGTGGCTCCATTGTATAATTGTGATATACCTGAGCAAGGCGAAGGAAATAACACTGAAATGTCACCAGCCCCTCCCATTCAATCAAATATCAATGTTCAAACAACTGTAGCGCAAAGTTCAGTGACAGATTCTGAAATCGTGATGTCTGCTGAAGAAAATCCCCAAGGTAGATATTTAACGGACCATCAGCAAGGTAGACACCTAAAGAGTATCTATGTACCAGATGTAGGAAACAAATGGTATGATGTTAAGGGGAACCTAGTCACTCGCCCAATAGATCCAAAAAAACTTCCGAATGCTTTTGGTTATCTGCCCATATACGGTCGCCCAAAATCTAAGGCTAAGTTAGCAGAGTTCGAAGATGAAAGGATAAGAGAATTTGTTGGTTTTGATCTTAACGATCAGGAGTTTGACAATCTTGCTCAATATTGCAGGTAATTACTACACACATTATCATTTTAATGTAATTTATCATTAAATGGGCACTTTGATTTTAACACGGGATTTTAAGCTCTTCCCATTGTTCTAGGTCATCGAGTATACAACCAGAAATAATAATAATAATAATAATGTACACACTCAACATAGCCCCGCACTAGGAAACCCTGTGTCGCGGGTGCCAAGGACATAGATATATGTGGCAACCACAAACTACACCCAAACTCACAAGAGAAATAAATGTAAGCTATACAAATATTTCTCCCGGCCCGGGAATTGAACCTGGGACCTCTGCGTGGCAGTCCGGCATGGTAACCGTTCGGCCACAGAGGCAGTTAATAGAGATGAAATGTCATTTAATTTGTTTGAAAACTATTCTGCCGAATTATTAATGTCAAAACTGCGCTCCAATTGGCCAGCCCAAATTCAAAACATTTGACAGGCGTCATAATTGTTTCACTTCAAATCAACCAGTTTTTTTTTCTTTAATGAATGGCATTGAGTATATACCCAGAAATAGAGACGAAATGTCATTTAATTTGTTTGAAAACTATTCTGCCATATCATTACTGTGACAACTGCGCTCCGCTAGCCCGAGTTCGAAACAATTGATGGGTGTCATCAACTGTTTCACTTCAAATCGACCAGTTAACTTGAGCTTTGGTATAATGGACGAAAATTGCAAAATTACATATTTAATGTTTAATTACTGATGAAATGTGATTCCGTTTGTTTTGTAATTAGATCTTTTGCTGTTTTTCCCACACCACCGAATATAACAGCATGGTATTGATAGAGATATTATCTTTATTACAACAAATACAGAATATTTTTTAGAATATACAGAGACGTACACACAGGTCAGTAGTTGGCCTGTCTATATTTCAGTGCAAACGGGAGTTGATATTTATAAGACCTGTATCGCTAATGTGTTACCAGGAATATATGGCCCTTATTTTGTCTCTATTTCTGGTTATATACTTGATGGGCTTGTGAGACTAATTTATTGTCTCAATTCTGCCAGTGTCCATTACGTGTTAGTTTTATAACCATCATGGAGGGATTGTTTAAGGAAAGTATGCTCGGTGATTTAGAGGGAGTATTGAAGAAATTTTTGCACAAGTTGATCCCTAGAACAAAAGAGACAACACAAATTGTTAGTAACAATCATAACAATGTATAATATCTAAGTACAAATATAGTGTTAATATACGAACAATATTCACAATTTAATATGATTCACATGAATAAATTTACAGAGAATATGATATATTTTTGGGTGAGAGGATAGAGACAAAAGACATTTAATGGAAGTAGGACAAGGAATAGAAGGAGGGAGAATGTCATACAAGGAATATCATAATTTAGTGCAGTCAAAGAATATATGGTCCACACTTCTTTCGTCTAAACCACACTCACACAATGAGTTATCCCTAATCCTTATTTTAGCCAGATGAACTGGAATACACGCAAGACCCAAATGAATGCGGCATGTTGTTGATGTAGTTTCTTTATTGGCTGAACAGAGTTTGAAAAACCAAGGAACTGTGGGAATTTGAGGCTGAATGTCCACAGTTATTTGCCTTTTTGTTTCTGTGATTACATGTTTAATATTTAATTACTGATGAAATGTGATTCCGTTTGTTTTGTAATGTTTTGCTGTTTTTCCCACACCACCGATTGGAAAAGCCCCATTGTTAGAGGTATTATCTTTATTACTATAAATACAGAATATTTTTGGAATATACAGAGACATATACACAGGTCAGTTGTTTCAGCTGTATATTACACAAACTTACAATAATTGAAGGATATTGTGATCCCAAACAATTTCTCACTGCTTTCTCCACTCAGTGGATTGCATGGCAGTGTAACTAGAGTGACCTAAGTAATTATGTTTAGTATAATTCCATTCCAAATAATATAACAGATTACGCGCGTATTTAAGTGCAGTTTTTGCTTACATGTTTCAAACTAGTTTGGTCCTTAATTTGAGCTTCCATAGTGGTGACTAAGAAAACACAACATCTCGAGTAAATATAGGTTCGAATCCGGCCGGATCGTAGGAATTTTTTCTGAGTGTTCGATCTTTGTATTAATAATTATAACAAAGTAGTGGAATAATTTCACAAAAAAGAATTGTATATCAATTCAATAATAATTTAAAATACAGTGAATAGCGACATCTCTCGCCAGGGCTGGTAACTAAAGATATCTAACTGGGTGATATAAAACTTTTATAGATTTCTCATAGATGGCGCTACGACTAAAAAGTCGTTGAAAATACCAAATACAAAGATACGACGCAAGCACATAGAAAAATTCGTGAGGTCCGCTGGGTCGTTCCGTGGTTTAGTTGGTATAGCGTCTGGAACGGTAAGCTAGAGACGTCGGTTCTAATCCGGCCGGATCGAAGGATTTTTTTCTGAGTGTTCGATTTTTGTAGTTTGAGTTTTGTTAATAATTATAACAAACTTGTGGAATAATTTCACAAAAAATAATTGAATATCAATTCAATAAAAATGTAAATATATGCAACTTAAATTTTCTGAGTTATCCGTTAATATTGTTAATATGTCGGAGTCTCTACAGTTTTCTATCTAAAATAACAATACGATAATCAATTTTATATATTTATGCATTATGTAACAAACACAATTCTTCCAGATCAGACTTACTTGAAACAGGCTCAGAAATAGTGATGATGTCCAAAACACCAACAGTGCCATATGTCGCTGAAACTGACATTTTAAAATCAGTTCAACAAAATAAGAATGAGCTGAATATTGTGAAGAAGCTTAAACTAAGATTGGAAAAAGACTACAATAATCGATATCCTATAAAGTTGAAGTATCGTGGGTTGAAGCAGATGCCTCTCTCAGATTTGCAGGTAGTTTTTTACTCTTGGTAACTATTAACTAGCTAATGAATATGGTCTAATCTAATCTATATGGTCTAAAAAAAACTTATGTAAACTTTTAAGGCATGGAAACACTAAATCAAGTCACTTTTTCTTTACGTAAATAAGTATTTAAATCTTGTTTTTAATAAGGCCTGTAATACATGGGTGTCAATGTCGGTCTTGTGATGTCAATCCCTGTGGATTTTTCTGCTATATCGTGTCGCCTCGTAGTAAGGTACAAGACCTCACATATGAGTATAGAGTTTTAGCCCTCTTCGCCAGCGGGTCACCCAACACTACATTTAACTTCCCAACCTGCCAAATATCCCCTAATTGAAATTGGCTTCTTAGAGCTACGTAATGGTAACATTCCATTAAATGTAGCATAATTTCAAGTTTGTTACAGAATTTACATAGTGGAGATTATAAATCAGTTGTTTCAATACAAAAGTTTTTTTTTGTTGTCAATATGAATGTTAAATTATTCATATTATCAGCTTGGTGATCTTAAGTTTTTTGTATGTAATAGTAGATTTAGTTCATTCATTGTGGGACAAGGGTTGGGGATTCATAATAAAAACTATTTGGTTTCATGTATTAAACTTGCTTTATAATTGCTTCACTTGATTTTGTCATTATAATATTGATCCCGCCTTTGTAAAGAATCGTAAGCTTAAATTTACTTTCAGTGTATATGAACATCTAATTAAAAAAAAAAAGTCACGCTTATTTTGTAATCTGTGAAGTTTAAGGCTAAGTACAGATGACAAATATTTAACGCGCGTTTTCAAATCGTTTGTCTAGATGATATTCGTATATTTGTCATACATTCGTTCAAATGTTCCGCCATACCGCCTGCGTTCAGAGGAAATACTTCAAAACGTGCGTCACTGCTGGCCAACGCGAGTTATCGCGCATTTAAAATTATAGGCACTGGGAGTGTACCTGTCCAGATGACCATGCTTTCGTCGCGATTGTACACTTTCCTACTTTTGCACCGCGCGTTGTCTTCGGTTGTCTAAAAGTTTCCACCAACGCGCGTCAATGTTGAACGCGCGGCAGATGTGCGTCCATCTGAACCTAGCCTAAAAATCTATATTCATAAGCCAACGTAATTTCTAGGACTTTACTGAGGATGATTCTCAAGACAAGTTGCTGGAGCCGGGGAAAGACCTTATTTTCCGTATACGCATCTACAGAGGCTTTGCCTACAGTTTGAAGGACAGACATGTAAGTAATATCATCATCATCATCTACAGCCTGATTTCATCCAGTGCTGGGTATAGGCCTCCCTTTGTGCCATGTATAGTAAAGTAATTTCAAATTTTAAGATTCCATAGTGAGACTGTGAATTTATTCATATTTTAGTTAAGTCTGTTTGTATGAAAAGTAGTTACTCGTATGTTTGTACGTACTGTAATGAAGTTTAGTGTAAAGACATGCATTGATGGCCCAAAATCAAAGGGGAAGAGGCAACATAAGAAAAATTTATATTTACCCTATTGAATGGGCATTATTTTTATTTTATTTAATAGGGTGCAACTTCAGATAAATAAATAATAGGTGTTCAGACATTCAAATAAAGTTGTCCACAACATTTAAGTTTGGTAAATATTACATGTAATAAAATGTTAAAGTAAAATTGCGCTATTTTCTGCTTAAAACTAAAGAGTGGTTTTAAAGGACATAATACTATAGAAAAAAATGTTATGACATAACGCCATTATATGTTCGACACCATTCAAAATACGATAACGTGTCTTGTTCCAGAGCCGGTCGCGGCACTCGGTGTTTAGTCACGATGTTGTGCTGTACGGGCGGCAACGGTTGTGCGCGTTGCGTGATCGCATCGTGTGCCCCAACGACGCCGACGTACGCGTCGACGTCGCCGACCGGATCAACGAACCGCCGGTGACCACTGCCCAGGTACTTTAGGAGAATATTTTGCGGGATTTATGCACTTTACTGCATATTGTTAAGCTATAGAAGCGAACCTACTTTCGACGCGTCACCTAATGCAAATTATAACTTTTTTATATAAAAAAAACCGACTTCAAAAGTTCGTGGAAGTACATATCGACTCATTTGTAGAACAAAGATCTATGTGCAAGACAATTTGTAAGACAATTTGCAAGGATATAGTACATTTCGTTCGATCTTCTTCGCTGTGAATGTCAGATCGACTGTTGTTGGATTTTATACTTTCGAAACGAAATAAGATATATAAATTGTCAAAAAAACCTTTGCATAGGCCTTAGTTTGCATAACGAAATTATTCTCGTAACACATCTCTCTCTGACTCTGTTCTGCGGATGAGTCTATTATATTTGTTAAGTTTTATTGTAGTCGGTTACCGGAAAACGTGCGAAACCGGATTTACCCCTGGTTTACCACCCTGAGGCGGATTATTTTCTTCAAATTTATATGGGACCAACACTGAGGTACCTCCTTTCCGACAAAAAAAAGTGATCAAAATCAGTTCACAAATCCCTGAGTAAACGCGTAACATACACACAAAAAAACAGTCGAATTGTTTTTGAAGTCGGTTAAGAACCTAAATGAAAGCAATTGCTGAGAAATAATAAAAACTTGATGACTGTTTCAAATAAATCAACTACATTGTCTTTTCTATTTATTAAATTTTTGAAGTAATTTTTTTTTGTGAAGAATTTTTCCGCTGAAGAACATATTGAGAATTAACGTGAATAATAATGTGCCAGGCAACCACACTAATAGCTAGTCTCAAACTAGGAAATTCACTATACTGTGGGCACCAGGGCAATAGAATTAACTTTGGGGCACAACCCAAAACACCCAGTCCTACCGGGAGACGCACTCGGCACCTGTTCATCTAGCACCCACGAGGCTAACCATTTGGATCATCGAATTGAATCGGATTGTTATTTTATGGAATTATTTTTATAAATTTTAAAAATGGCGTACACTTACAATAGGCTGATTAATTTGATTTGTATAAATTATTGTTATGTTTTAGGACGTGTTCCAATCGGGTTTCCTGTTCATAAACAACGTATTCTACGTGGACACCCGCGGCTCCTGCAGGGACATTTCTGCGGGTCTGCGCGCTTGGGCTGAGAAACGCGGCCGCGGCGTCTTTCCTTGCAAGGACATGACCAAAGTGCGATTGGACGAGCTCATCCTCAAGCTGGGACACCCTGAGGTATGTATCAAAGTCAAATCATTTATTTGCTTTAAGTACTACACTTATTACACTATATGTAACAAATTTTCATAAATCTCCAATGTTGTCGTGCTTGCGATGTACTTTTGCTGCCCATAACAATGATAATATTGTATACTTATCATTTCGTCCTGTTTTACGTATCTTAACCTCTTAAGTTCCCGTGTATATCAAATTTATACATAATATCTGAAGTGATTCAAACCCAGATAATACAGTTCCATCGAGTATATAACCAGATACGACTCCTATCACGTAACTGTCCAGTGTATCACTGTAATGAAAATATCGCATTCAAATTTAGAGGTACATATTCTATATGACCATAGAGCATCTAGAAAAATACGTTTTTTGTACAAAATTCTGGGCATACTTGCTTGGGCCTGAAACATGGAGTTATATTTTTCTGCTCCTGTACTTTAATCGGTCTTTTATAATTTTCTAAACCACATCTTAAAGGCGAACTTTTTAGTTCTGAATCAAAATTTTATTGGCTATGGAGCTGAAAAATTTTATTATAGTACACGGAACTATTACATTTACATTATTAATACATTTATTTCTCTCGTGAGTTTGGGTGTAATTTATGGTTATCTATGTGTGTGTCCATGGCACCCGCGACACAGGGTTTCCCTAGTTCGGGGCTATGTTGAGGGCGTGCGTTATTATTATTATTATTATTAACTATAATGAGTTTCAAAAAAAGAACGTCGAATTTTTGCTAAATATCAATAAGTGTACGCTATTTTAAATAGAAAACCACCGTGAGACTCAGCATATTAACTAAAATAACGGAAAACTCACTCGACGGAAACCGTCGAGTCACCGCCGTGGCATCTCATGATTAAGGACTACGAACACGAATTAGTGATTATATCCACGAGATATTAATGATTATGCTCAGGGGGTATACGTATAATTTTGGCTTACTTTGCACTGTGAAGCGGTGTGTGACAATCCGACAATAAATATAGAGCTACTACGGTTGAGTGCCGTCAGATTGAACCAATATTATTGTATTAAATATAAAAGGTTGAATTAAAGAACTCGAAATACAGTCGAAATTTTTTAAGAAATTGACCAATAATGGCGTCCCTTCTGTCATCTTCCCGGCCTAACTGCAGGACTGCAAATAATACAAAGAAACATATTTAGTTACTAATTGTACTGCGCAAAACAAGCTGTTAAGTGTAGAGGGCTGGCTGCTACTTATTTGTCTACTTTAGAATAAAAACAAATAATACTTAAAAATTAAGGCGGTTTACTTGTTTTTTTTCAACCAGTTAACTAACAACCATGTAACAATGGCGAAAACCTAAGAACTCGATATTATTATTGTGTATTGAGTATTGTGTATTGTTTTGGTTTGACCCTATAGAGGTTTCTAATGTACGGTTATTTAGATTGCCATATATGTAGTATATGAACCCAGACCTAATTCATGTAACATGGTGTAGAATGTATATGTATGTGCATTTTTGACATGCTGTACCAAGGAGAGATCATGGCATGAGATAACTCGCGATGTCTAAAACATACGTGTTTTTTATGTTCTATATTTAAAAACGTACACCATTATTGGTGACTCATGCTGAGAAACAACATATTAGGGATCTTTTTAATAACCGATGTCATTGACTGCCGCCCGGAGTCGCTTCAAATTTTCCTTAGCCAAAATCTGGAATGACCTCGCCTCCTCCTCGTAAGGGGCAGTGGCTTAATTGTTATTGACAATCAGTTGAAAATGTGCTATTTGTCAAGCATTCCGGAATGCCGGTTTCTTTTAATTTGCGCCTTATTCATACACATTGAAGATATTTAATTGAGGTTATTGCTCAGATGTGAGTGTGTATTTTTTGTTAATTTTTGGTGTGTACCATTGCCTGCTAACATCGGCGAGAGATATATACTCCATAGTCTTCTGTAGTTGAGTCATAAACCCTTTTGACATGTTTATTTTATTATTAATTTGTATCATCTTTTCTTTACTGTACTGCATGTCGAATGAAGTAACTTTGATTATGATTTTTTTTTGTAGAACTGCAATATAACTCCGGCTGTACTTGTTCCAGGTGTACATGCATCAAGGCAACTGTGAACATCTGTTTACGTTCTCCGAGATCCGCTTGGTGACTCCGTCCGACCCATTGAAGACGATACACTATCCTACGCACACGGCGGTGGCACAGAACCAAACCATCTACTGCACAGCCTGCGCAGAGTTCGGTGCTAAATGGATCATAGACGGCTGCGACAAGGTGCCGTTCGACCCGGCATTCTTCTGCGACATGTGCTTAAAAAAGTATCTCTACAAAGATGGTCAGAAATTGGGTAACTTCAAAGCGTATTCGTATAAAATTAACGAGATAAATATATTGAAACCCACTCATGGAAGATACGAGGAGAGGGATTTCACTGAAATGGACGCCCCTGTGAGTTTAAGTCAGCGGAAACGGACGCTACCTGGTGGCCTTGGTGATGATTGAAGTTATAAAGAACTGAAATATATCTGGTTTAAGAAAAATTTTCATAGATTATTAATACAAAGACTGATTCGAACCAACGTTGTCTAGCAAACCGTGTCAGACGCTATGCCAATTAAGCCACAGAACGAACCGACGGACCTTACGAATTTTCATAAATTTGTCACAGATAGTGACAAATGGATGATGGATGATTTTAGTAGCAGTAGAGCTCCTTGTGAAAGAGTTCGTCCAGTGAAGTACTGCCACCTTATCTACTTTTGCCGCCAAGCTGTTGGTGAAATTACGGGCTCGTGGGACTTGTCCACTTATATCTCAGGGTGACGGGGCGCAGTGGCAGTGCCCCTCAGATCTTTGCGATTTAAAATTCTTGAGTGGCACTGCAACTGTTATGGACAGGCGTGTAGTTTACCATCAGGCACACGACTTGTTCGCCCTGTCACTTGATATTATATAAAAAAAAAGATGGTGTTACGGCAAAAAGTCGTTAAAAACCAAAAACAAACATCTGCAACGAGCACATAGAAAAATTCATAAGGTCTGCTGGTTCGTTCCATAGTTCACTTGGGACAGCATCAGGCACGGTATGCTTAAGGCGCTGGTTCCAATCTAGCCGGATTGAAGGAATTTTATTACTGTTCGATCTTTGTAGTAATAATGACAACATCCGGTTTAGGTTATTAAAACACCGTGTAGCAATTGATTGGTAATAAAAGACAATGTAAGGTTAATTAATGTGTTATTGAACATGTCTCATAATTTACGCAAAACGGACCATGTAAGTTATTTTCAAAGTTTGGATATTTTATCGATGTATCCGCTTTGTCTATCTCTGCAACTCATATATAATGTTTGTAATAAGTACACATGTGTATGGAAACAATGTTAAGCGTAAATAAGCAGTGCCAAAGTAAATGTAGTTTTATATACATAGTTTGTCTTTTTCTTCTACTTTAGAGTATTTCGCCAAGTTCTCAGTCTTGACGAGGTACAACTTCTATGCGCTTTCAGCGATCTCTCTCCATTTGTCCCTATTTTTCGGTAGCAGAGAGACAAGGAACAGTTCGTGACACTTGGTGCCGGTTAACATCCGCAAAAGCGTTGACCTCGTCTGGCTGGTTAGACACACAATGCTAGATCTGTACGTCGTACGAGGACCTTAAAGAAAAAAAATTTTTTTTTATTGATTTTACTGAATAGTATGATGTTTTTCTACTATAATATTCATTTATTTTTTATGAAATGACTATATATTATTCAGATTTTTTGTGAAATAACTACACTAGTTTTGTTATGATTATTAATTTTAGTACCAGTAGAGCTCATTGTAAAAGAGTTCGTCCAGGGAAATACTGCCACCTTATCTAGTTCTGCTGCCAAGCAGTAATGCATTATTGTTCCGATTTTGAAGGGTAAGGGTGCTGGTGAAATTACAGGCACATGGGACTTGTCAACTTAGGTCTCAGGGTGATAGGCGCAGCGACAGCGCCCCTCACATCTTTACGACTTAAAGCTCTGAGTGGCAATGCAACTGTTATCGACAGGCGTGTAGCTTACCATCAGGCGCACGATTTGTTCGTGCCGTCACTTAAAGATCGAACACACAGAAAAATTTCTTCGATCAGATGGGACTTGAACCTATGACCATGCTGTACCGTAGCGCTGCTCTAACCAACTGAGCTACAGGTCAAGTTATCGAGTTGTCGAAATACTTCTGTTTTTGTTAGATATTGTACTTTTTACTGGGCTTTTCGGTATAATGCCGAATCATAATGGTCGTGTGTTCATCCCAACCCATCGAGACGAAGATTTTTTTCTGTGTGTTCAATTTTTGTATTAACAATCATTACTCCAGTATAGTTTGTTATAATTATTTAACATAGATCGAATATACAAAGAAAAATTCCTTGGATCATTAAAACACAAGAACAATAAAAAAGCCGTTAAAACAAAAAAACAAAGATCTGTAACAATCGCATACAGAAATTCGTAAGGTCTGCTGACTGGATCTGTAGCCTAGTTGGTATAGCGGTTGCTCTAGATTGGTATGCAGATTCAGGTTCGAATCCTGCCAGATCAAAGGAATTTTTCTTTGTGTTCGATCTTTGTATTAATAATTATATTTTTACTAAAGTATCTTAACTTTGAAACTGATACGCATTCAGATACAAAGCGACACGATGTGCAAAATCCACGTATATAACACGTAAACACTATTAAGGTGAAATTTCTGACAAAAGCTATGATATTTAATGAGTATAATAGTTTAAGTTATCTGTCCACCCAGTACCTATATGAAACATATGCGCATTATTTACTTACCTGCTGTGAACGAGCAGCTTCCCTTTGTCACCCACTCACAAATTATGTACTATGTACGCATACGTATATCTACGTGCTCTGCAACACAGTATGCAATTTATTATCGTGTCATGATTTATATCTACCACTACGCGATAAAATACCAAGCAATAAAAATGTAATTGACTTGAAAAGTGGTAGACAAAAGCAATTACCAGTATAACACCTGTGTCACGGCTAATACTTTAAGTACACAATAAAAAACACTTTGCACCGTTATCAAAAGTGGTATCGAGATGATTTTGAATCTCACGTAACGTGCCTTTGTTTACGTATTTATTCTGTTATGAAACACTACAGGAAATTGTACCTTATACCAACAATGACCCCGCTAGAGTGCATGCGCTGCTCCATATATTATGAAAAATCTATATATATTTGTATATATATATAAAGACTTCATAATACAAGGTGAATTTTTTAACTGGGCGTGGACAGCCAAATCCGAAACTTAGGACAAAGACTGCGTAATTTTTTAGAACCAGTAGTGCTTGCGAAAGAATTCTTCAAGGAAAATATTGCGACCATACCTAATCCTGCTGCCAAGCAGTAATGTGAGCATTACTGCTTGGCTGCTTGTCTCTGGTGGATCCGGACTTGGGTATGGACTCGCTGGGGTTTGTTGTGAGTTGCAGAGACGGAAATGTTCGTCTGCTCCGGTGGTGTGTGGTCGGGGCGTCTGTCTCATGCGCTGCTAGCGTGCCTTAGTAGCGGTCTAGACGAGGGCCCTTTAAGTCGGAAGCCCTATGTCCGCACATGGTCAAAAGACGCTCTGACCGGCACTAGCTAGTAGAGGATGAGCTCGATATACTCTGGTCCCTCCATCCGCTTAGGTTTTTGGAAACTGGAGAGACGCCGTTTTTCGGCGTCGGGAAGCGAGCGTGCCCTACAGTTCCGCCACCAATAAGGAGATTTGGTAGTGGATTTTGCAATATGCAACGGGAAGTGAGCGTGCCTACAGCTCCGGTACCTATTTGGGAAATATGGAGGTTACTGTACGCGCACCTGTGGCGGCTCACCCTAGGCGCTAGCCTTTTGAGAACCGGATGAAGTCAGTAACAACGATCTGTGACAACCCTGTACACTGGCTGATCTGAACCTAAACTTAGAAGGTTTCTGTGCACGCACAGGTTATAGTGCCCTTCTCGTATACCAAGGGTCGGTTAGGGATGGTCACTATAATAAAAAAAAAATGCATAGAAAGATATGGCTGTCCATAACAGCAAGTGCTTTAAATCACAAAAGTCTGAAAAGTACTGCCACTGCGTCCGTCCTCCTGAGACATAAGTTGACAAGTCCCACGTGCCTGTAGTTTCACCAGCATACTTACTATTCTAAACCGGAATGCAGTAATGCTCACATTACTGCTTGGCGACAGAAACAGGTAAGGTGGCAGTACTTACGTGGACGAACTCTTTCACAAGGAGCTCTACTGCTACGATTAAAAGCTCGGAGTGGTACCTACTGTAACCGTTACAGATACGCATGTTGTTTCCATCAGGCGCACGACTTATTAGTCTTATTACTTGACATAAGAAATAGATTCTTGAACAATACTAATTTAATAGTAATTTCTTTAGCAGAAAATCGAACCGATTCATTAGGAAGAACTTTTACACACTTTTACAATCCTAAACCAGTTCAATGAAATCAGATTATTTACTATTACTTTCTAAAAAAGTAAAACGTATGTATATTGAAAATATATATGTCTGATGTGTCTGATCATATATATATATATATATATATATATATATATTTATCTCATATAGCCGTTCCCACATTTTGTGCCAAAACGAATAAGTGTGTCAAGAAGTTGCTCAATCTTCTTTATTCAATTATTTTGATTAGGGAGTTGCATACAATAAGGTGCAATTGCAAGACATTGCGGTGATGGATGAGACAGTTCTACGCAGTTACGGGGTCAATTTCGTAGGACTAGTTTCAAAACTTTGTTTTGTGAGAACAGAGGACACGTATTGTTATAGCATCTAAGTCCACGGCTAGTAGATAACGGAAAAGATTCCTCTGTGAAAAGGTAACATTCTGACATTCAATAAAAATTTTGATAATTCTGTGATTTTAAAATTATATTATGTATTTCAAGGAATTTTGTCAATCTTCTCTGACATGTAGAAAACGGCTACATTGTTGTTCCTCGCGATATAGATAAGTAAATAAATATATAACGTGCACACTCATATCCCCCTTGGGAAACTCTTGTGTCGCGCGTGTCACATAGATAAACACGAACTCCACCCAAACTCACGAGAGAAATATATTCTGTAGGCCGAATTGCACCCGGGACCTCGGCGCGGACGACCAGCATGGTATCCGTTCAGCCACGGAGGCAGTTAATGATTGCTTTCATCGATTATCTTCACTTTGAATACCGTAGTAGGTAAAGTTGTTTTTGATATATCAAATATGGGTTTCCTGTTTACCACAATCAAGGCTGTTAAGATTAAGTTGACGATTGATCTAGCACAGCTAATAGCTACTTAAGCTACCCTTGAATATTTCGAGGTTATATGCCCAAGAAAATATAGATGCCTTACTTTCTCACACACGTATCTTATAAAGAGTGATTATTCAGGAGATGGGAAAAAAATCTTTTTTTTTTTAATTTATTATCAAGGGTGTTAATGTGGATGCACTACTTTAAGAATCGATAAAAGCCAATGTGTTACTATGAGGGAAAAGTGATATGAAATCAGCCTGCAAATTTGTATGTATATACAATACAATGCATTTTTTGCATTTCAGTTACTTTGTGTTTAGCTTGAGAAATGAAGGCGACGAAATGCAGGAGATGTGTTTTAGAATATATTGCTAAAATATTGTTTATCATGAGGGTTTATCATCACTAAGCATGGTCCATGATAAACCTATTTAAATACTCGTGAACGGTACCGCCAATTACAAGGTAGGTGTAGTT